CGGTGGACCCCCTCCCGGATTCATCCCTCCTCCCGGAATGCCTGGCTTCCCTGGTCCGGGTGGACCCGATGGTCATGGCTTCCCCTTTGACGGACGTATGCCTCCCGGCGCCGCTCAGGCGTTCCGGAGACAGTAAACAACCCACATCATGGAACTATCATCGGCCTCTCCAGTAGAGGCTATACTTCCGTAGCGTTTCAGCTGCTACATTTACCTTGTTCAAGTCTCATCACCAAATGTTCAGACATGTGTCTTTGAAAAGGGCATGTTATGAAACACTATAAACGTAAATGTCGGTATAACGACATATTGCTTGTCGGATTTGCTGGACTAGCACCTAACCACTTATCCTCGAATACCAGGTTTCTCTTCAAATGTGGGAGGAGCCCAGTCTATCAGCTTCGCATGGGCGAGGCACCGCCTCAACTATCTCAATGAGGTTACACGTTTATGCGATACGTTTCCTATGCTCATGAGCGGAGGGAACCAACAACTAAGCAGACATCTTTGTTTTGGCTCAGGCCCACAAGGCAAGGGCTCTGTGTCCTCTCAGAAGACAATGGTTCTAGGCGATGGTACAATAAAGAGCAGAAAACAAGGGTGGCGAGTTTCTGAGGAAGGGGGAGTGGGATAGGATATCCCTCATGTTACCTTTAGTCTACTGCGGTGGACACGAATGAAATGAAATGGATGTTAGTTTTCCTGGCTTCCAAAAGCTGTGCCTCTGCAATCATGGTGAAATTAAGTGACACCATTTGTGCTTTTACTGATTCCATTGCTTGAAGGACCGATTATGTCGATTGTCTTTTTGACAAGTATCAGTCTTTTGGGCAATCATTACTCCATTTGGTAATTTTCAATTTTTTTTCAAATACAAGAAAAAGTCTCTGTCAACAAGCATTGTTGAGTTTTGTGTGATTTGGTTCCACGATAGATCCAGAGTACATATATACATGCCCCTTCAACTACAAACCACTCAGCCCAGGCAGCCAATCGCCATCGCTACTCTTCTGCTTCTTCTCCGTCTCCCACCTCCACATCCTTATGCAAAACCACTCAGAGACAGGAAGGAAGAAAGCCAACAAGAGGCAGTGTTCCTTTACACATCTACGGGAACTGTCGCAACTAGATAGGTAACCCTACCGCCCCTGATTCAACACCAAAGAACGCCACGCTGGCAACAGAATGTGCAAGAAAAAGGGGAGTTGAGTAAAGCTGAGAGCGTAAGATGGGCGAAAATCCCCTCATTAGTAAATAATGTTCGCTTCTCCCTTTCTTTTTCTCCTTTTGACTCAGTGCTTATCCTTGTCCTTGTGGCTCTTCTTCATACCCAAAAAGTTGCGCTTCTTCTTATCCTTCTCCAGCTTGTGCGGTTTGCCGCCGTCAGACGGAGCAGGCGACGCTCCGCCGCCATTTGCCACGGGCGGGAGTGGCGCGTTGAGGTTCATGTTGCTCATCTGAGCTGTTGGCGGCGCGGCAGGACGCCCAGGTAGACCACCTGGCGCAGGTGCTCTGCGTGGCCCACCCGCCGGTGACGGTGCACCCGGCGGTGCCATACCGGGGGCAGGGCGTTGCGCCATAGGGTTGGGCGGAGGGGCAGGCTTCTCGTAAACCCAGGCCGGAGCGCGGGGTGTTGGTCGCTCCATTGGTATGTCGAGCGTGCGCTTGTCCTTGCCCAAATCGCCTACTTGGCGGACGTAAAGTTGAGGTGTGAGCATGTGGCTCGTCACCAGGAAGATGTCCTTGCCTTGGCGGGCCGAAACGTCGTAGCAAGCACGGCTCTCACTATATGTTGCGCCACCAGCCATGAAAACAATAAAGCGCTGACGGTTTTCAGGTGGTCGTCGGCCAGATGATGCCCAGTTCGGCCTACCGGCACGCAATGAGCCTTGTTGTGAGGCCAAGAGATCCTCGTTGGGATCAGCTGGTGGCTTCACGTAAGGGAACGTGGTTTGATCGAGAGTGCCTCGACAGAGTTCGTCGAGCATCGTCTGCATAGCTGTCTCGAAGCGAGAGAGCGAATATTCTTCGCTGATCTCTGCTGCTTTGGTGTTCTTCTGGAAGAGGGGCGGTTGAGGAGGTCGTACATCTTTGAGGCCACCACGCACTGGGTGTCCGCCCAACATCTCGAGGTTGACTACTATTTCCCCATCCCCTTGCGGTAGGCCCGAATGCGCGAGCAGCCGGTTGATATCCTCCATCACAACTCCGTCTCTATACAGCACGTAGAGAATGATCAGGCGCAGTCTGTCTGATGGGGTGATGGCGTCGTCGTCCAAAAGCCGCACGACTTGGTCCAATATGTTTTTAGGCTTCCTGAAGTCCTCGTCCAATCCTGTAGCAAGAGTTTGCTCCACCGAAGCAATGTCTGGCAGCTTGTGATCTTGGAATTTGTTCATGGCTTCTTGCGCCAGACTCAAATGAAGCGAGTACGCCTCCTTCATCTCCTGAAACTGCGGCAAACCAGCCAGCATGTCTCTGATGGCGTTCAAGCTCGTCGTCTCCTGCTCCTCGTTGGTGAAATTAGGGTTAGACTCCAAGAACTTTCGGAAGTCTCCCATTAGTTTATCAATGGTATCTTTCATGTGTCGGTGTCGATTATCGACCCAGACCGGATCCTTGTCGGATAGCTCCACGTCCTTCTCTTCTTCTTGTGCGGTGCCCTCATTTGTGACCATGCGATACGTCACCTTGTCACCATCTTGTATCGGGAGAAGGTCGTGGGCCATTGCCTGATATGTGAACTCGTGGACCAGAGGCGCCAAGATATCCATTGATCTGTCCGTGATGATAAGCGTTCCCACAGGCCGCGACGACTGTGGTGGAAAGTTTGGGTTCCACTGCGCGTATTCGTCCAACTCCTCCTGCACGAAACGAGCTAGATGAGAGGCAAGTACGGCGGCTTCATGGAGAGGGTTCTTCGGTCTGTAGTATCGGACTTTGGGGTACTCGCCCAGTGTAACGCACACGCCGGTGATCTGGTCTGGTCGTCAGCAAGGCAAGTTGTGTAGCCTACCATCCGTCTACTACGAACCTTCTGTGCTAGAATCTTCATGTGTCGCGCCACCAAGTTGTTGCACGCGGGGTGGTATAGGATTGGAAAGCTCCAAGGGTCTTTGAATGTGATCAAATGCGACTCGCGAGGGAAGAAGTCGATTGAGAGGGTTTCGAACCCCGCGATGCGTTGCTTGGCTGGTGGGCAGCCATCAATCATGCGACGGATCCTCGGATCCAAGACACCGGTCCACACCAGGTACGCTTCCTTATATCTGCGGCGCTCAAAGTCGTTGATGAGGATTTCGACAATGTTCTCTTTCGGGGACAGAATGTAGATGGCGTCCATCTCAGGGTTCATATCTCGCTTCTGCTCGATTCGCTCGATGTCTGGAGTGAGATTAGAACTTGTACCGTTACAAGGAGGAAACGTAGTCGTGGGACATACTGGCGATATTGTTGTTGAGAATGTCATCTTCCTTGACAACATTGTCTATAATCTTGTGGGAATCGTCGTCAACAACTAAGACTTTCCACTATGAGTATCACCCTGATTAGCTTCGTCGATTCGCAGGCTGTCCGTCAGGTATCGGGTAGATCTCACGTCGCCTCGTGTAATGTTCTTGATTGTGTCGATAATGACTGTCCTAATTGTCAGTATCGAGAGTGGAAGAGACTGGGAGAGCATCGTGGGCTCCCTGGCTGTGAGGCTGCTCACCGTCATGCTGCTCCTGGAGCGTGGAGACACCCATCGTGGCAAGTTGCCGCGTGGGCAGCGGACAACTGGCAATGCGTCGTGTGAGGGAAGCGGGGTTGGTCGCTATGAGGTAGAAGGTTGTCGGAGGGCGACTGTGATCGAGCGACGACGATGGGCGGGTGCGCCTGTGTAAATTGAGGTGCTACACGGATAGCGTGGCAGCGGAGTAAAGAGAGGCGGACAAGGCTGGAGGAATGCGCGTTGTCGAGCTCTGTGGATCGTGGACTCCAGGTTCTGGAGAGGCGTCGGGTGGAATTCGAGAGCCACTAGGTATGTATGTTTAGCTGGGAAATTGGTTGTTGTCTTGGGCTTCGTTGTCGTCGTTGTTTGGGTCTGGCGGGGTTTCAAGATGGAAGAAGAACCGGTCGCAGTTGTGGGACTTTCAATGCTCCGAAGACCCAAACCGGAGCTTGGGGGAGGGGAAAAGGGAGCAAGGCAAGGTCTGGCAGGGTACGTTCCTATGCGGTCAGACAGCTTTGTCGTGGTATGGTGGTGGTGGTGGTTGTAGGCGATAGGTGAGGTGGATGAGGTGAGTTGGAGGAGTTACGATCGGAAGAGGCAAGGTTGGTCGAGTTCGCGCAGCACAAGGAGCTGTGTTACTAGGTATGTAGTCGTAGGATGTCTGCAGTGGAAAACGTGAAGTATTCGGTCTATCGTTGAGGTTGACCGGAATAAGGTGAACGCAATGACCTGATGCGCCTGGAAGTCAAAAGGCCAGCAGGTTCAAGGCATGGAAGGCAGAGGTAGAAGAACGGGAGAGGCAGGTAGTTCCACGTCCCAGTCCCCGTTCCCAGTTCCAGTTCTGGTTCCATTTCCCGTTCCACTGCGCACCGCACCGCTACTTTCCTCAGGACTCCCGCCCGCGCTTCAAGTTGAGGCCCAGGAGGGGGGGCGGGGCCCGGGCAAGCAGGCCGTACGCAGTACTCCGTAGTCCTCCCATTGGAACTGGCCTGACCCCTCGCCCAAAATGCTATGCAACATAAATCCTGGTACGGATACTGCCCAGTACCTTAGGATAGGTACTTGAAGGTACTTAGCCTACCTTAGTGCCATACCTACATACACAGTCAGGTAAGGTAAGGTAGGTAGTGCAGCGGCATTCCCCCACTTCCAGCCCCCAAAAGAGCGATGAATGAGGTCACCGCCTTCCAGGTTCGCACTTGCACCTCACAACGGCGGCGCTTTTTGAAGATGCGGCGGCGGCACGGCGGGAGATATTCTCGTGGCCTTCCCGTCGCAAGGATTATGGTTGTTTGCTCCAGACAATCCCTTGTGTGTTTCAAAGCCAATCTGTTACCCGTCTCTTCGTCAGCTTTATTCCACTCCATGGCCAAGCCATTGGTCCTTGTGATGCTCGTTTTTGGTCATCACGAGTGTGAGCTGCGGTAATTTGGCAGTATTTTGAAGCCTTGTAATAGTTGTCCAAGGCAAATTAATTTGACCAAGGTTCAAGACCGTATATCTGTAAATTAAAATGGACTTCGACAGGCTCAAGTTTCGTCATTCGCCCTCTATTATGGGTATCTCAATGCTTCACATGACTCCTATTCCCTCATAAACCGGTCCCCAGGTATTTGTCAATATCCTCGCTGGCGTAAAACATCTCGCGCAACCTCTCGGCCTTTCTCTTGTCTTCATCGGCCTTCTTCCTGCACTGCTTCGCGTCCAGCATCTGCGGCTTCTTCTTTTCAATCTTTCCCTGGATGCCTTTTGGGATCTTGAGTCCCAATCCGTATCTATCCTCTTTTGGTCGAGTCTTCAAGGGATACTGCATGCCTTGCGCTTCGGCACCGAGTCCCTTTCGTGAATCAGGGTCCCAGCCATGGGACGAAAGATATGTCAAGCCCATGCGCGACCGATCTAGTGCTGATGGGGGGTGTGAGTGTGTGAGGCAGACTTGGTGAGCAATCGAAGACTCGTGCTGCTTTTGTCTACTTGTCGTGGGATTTTTGTTATTGTCATCGTCGACCCCTCCTACGGCGTCGTCTTTATCCACGGGCAACTCGCATACGGCGCATACTTGCCCTGCTGCTGGCGACGGCTTTTCGGCTTCCGCTTGCTTCTTGTCACCGAGCACGAGGCTGAGGTAAAAGTCGCCCACGGAAGTGCCACTTTTGGTTTTCTTGACCGCCTGGGCAGTGCTAAGGCTTGGATCTGATGCCATGACGAACTGGATAGGCTTGCGGCTGATTCCCGCGCCAAAGGGTGTTCGATGTTGAAGCGGTACATCCTCTTCCTCTTCATTCTCCTCGTCTTCTTCCACCCGTCGCTGCATTTCGGCACCACTTGCACAGCACACTTGTCAGCACGTGTTCCTCTGCAAGTGCGCTCGTGGAGGAGAATTCGAGTTATGTCGAGTGTCGCCGTCTGCCAGTGCAATGAGATGGTGAGATGAAGGGGCAGGGTGATGGAGAAAGGGTTGATGAAGAAGTTCCACTTGCTTGACAGGGGGGAGAGACCAACTCCATTATGTCAGCGAGGCCACCAGCGGCGGCCTCAATCCCCTGCAAACTCTGCGATTAGTGCCCCTGGATTGTGGAAGCCACCGCCGCTGGGCTGCCGGCAGAGTGGGACCGCCCCTGTCATCGCAATTCGGAAATCCCCTGGTGGCACAGCAGCTTTCCACTCTGTTCTAGAAGGCAAGCTGGCGGCTTCGTCACACCCAGACAAACCCAACGCATACTTCGTACGCACGCAAACACAAATGCAAACGCAAACGCTGACAGGCCTGCTTTCTCAACGATCTTGTCCACGACATTACAACAAGTCCGAGTCCTCCGCCCGTACACCTTCGAAGCATTGCTGTCCCAGCATGCCCGACAGTCGCTAATAGACACGCCGCCCTTCCAGCTTTAGCCCAGTCACTCGTTCACAATGCCTCTCGACTACTTTGGCTACATCGCCGAAGCCGGCCTCCCGACATATGTAACGGAAAATTGGTGGTTCATACTCAAGACCGTCGCGGCATTAGCGGTCCTCGTCTTCATCAAGCTATGGAGCGCGGGCGCTTCCAACACGGCCGAGCGAGACATGCACGGGAGGGTGGTCATGATAACGGGCGGGACATCGGGCATAGGAGCAACGACGGTGCTGGAGCTCGGCAGCCGCGGCGCGCAAATCATCCTCCTCACGCACACCCCCGTGTCGGACCCTTTCCTGGTCGAGTACATTGGCGACGTGCGCGCCCGGACCGGCAACGAGCTCATCTACGCCGAGCACGTCGACCTCTCGTCCCTGCACAGCATCCGAAAGTTTGCGACAAAATGGATCGACAACTCCCCGCCGCGCCGGCTCGACATGATCATCCTCGCCGCCGCCACAATCACCCCCGCGTCGGCCAAGCGTAAGGAGACGGTCGAGGGCATCGAGGAGACTTGGATGGTCAACTACCTCGCCAACTTCCACCTCCTCTCCATTCTCAGCCCCGCCATCAAGGCCCAGCCCTGGGACCGCGACGTGCGCATCATTTTCGCCTCGTGCTCTTCCTACATCGGCTCCCCGTCCCTCAAGGAACCCCTCGACAAGAAGACGTGGTCGCCGGGTACGGCCTACAAGCGCAGCAAGCTGGCGCTCATGGTGTTCGGTCAGGCCCTCCAGAAGCACCTTGACAACTACAAGCGGCCCGACCAGCTGCCCATGAACGCGCGCGTCTTCTTCGTCGACCCGGGCTTCAGCCGCACGCCGGGAATGCGGCGCTGGCTTTCGCGGGGCTCGCTGCTGGGCCTGTTTGCCTACATCGCCGCCTACCCGCTGCCGTGGCTCTTCCTCAAGAGCCCCGAGCAGGGCGCGCAGGCGATCCTGTACGCAGCCATGGAGTCTAGTCTCGTGCGCGCGGGCGCCGGCAAGTTGATCAAGGAGTGCCGGATCGTGGACTTTGCGCGTACGGAGATTGAGGACGACGAGGTGGCTAAGAAGCTGTGGGAGGAGAGCGATAAGCTCATTGAGACGACGGAAAAGGACTCGGCTGCTCTCAGAGCGCTGGAGAAGAAGATGGAGGAGGAAAGGGCCAAGGAGGCCAAGGAGGCGGAGAAGGTGAAGGAGGTTGAGTCTTTGGTTGAGGCTATCAAGAAGGGTAAGGAGTCGCAAAAGGCCAAGGGTAGAAAGAAGTCCAAGAAGGAGACATCATAAAAGCTTTGGAGGCGTTTGAATGCCATCTACTTATATAGACTACCTACTTAATGAGAAAGCAAGTGGCTGATCCGGTCACTTGTACGAATGCCGCACTCCTTTACCAGGAATATCAACGCGACTTGGCTATAGTGCTACTTACTACTGGGTTCACAATGAATTAAAAAAAAAATAACAGGAAAGGAAGGAGGAACACCGACCTAATAATTCACGCCTCTGCTCGGACTCGAACAGCGCGCCCTTCTGTCAACCCGAACTCTGACTTCATAGGAGTTTTTTTTTTTTTTTTTTTTTCTATCTACGCCGACCACCTCGCACACAGCTTGGCCTGACCTCGCCGATCTAGACGGGCGCTGCTATGCTGGTGGCAGAAATGGGATTGAGAGGGGGTATATACCTTACCATCAAGTTGAGGAAGGAGGTGATTCTGGATACAAGCTGTGTAGAAGGAGCCTTGAGACTCGGACTCTTTCCCACCGTTGAGCTCCAAAAGTCCGGGGGATCCGCCCCCACCTTTCACCGTCCAAGTGCCGTGGCCTCGGGTGCCATTACCCCAAGACTGGGAGCTCGGGGTGCCGGGGTGTGTGTAATCTTTCCCCGCAAGGAACACAGACATGACGACAGAAATCTCACAAATCAGCACATGCTCCTTCAATATACCATATCAGTTTCGCATTCTGAAATATCCAGCGGTCCTTGGAAAGTCCATTCCCCCTATTCTAAACGCGATCAAAGTCATTGGAGGAGCGAGCCCGTCTATAATGTCCAGTAGCACGGCGGCACCAGGCATGGCGCATCATACCGCAACAGCCGCATCAACACAACCTCGGCATCCCCTGCCGCTACAGAGTGCTTGGGAACGACACCACGTCGCTACCGCCGAGACAGCAATGGTACAACAACAGCAGCAGCACAATTCATCAATCCGGCACCCCGTCTTCTTCACAGAGAAACTGCGGCGGCCGCCGTTGACCCTGGCACCTGGCATGGGCCTCAGTCCCGTGGCGCACGGCTACGTCTACCAGGATGGACGGAGGAGACTGGCCGCGGAAGGGAACTCTGCGCCAAAGCTGTGATGAGAGAGGTGTGAGTGTGGTTCAGTTTTACTTCTTTTTCAGGTCTCAGTTGGACGAGCAATGTTATCGAAGATTCGTGGGGGAGGAGCAGTACTATCAATTTTTATGACTGGTGTTCTTGAACAATCTTTGCCGAGGCTGACGGCTTTGCTAGATGTTTTGGGGAAGTGGCTGCTAGTTACCTGAAGTTTGGAGGCGCAGCCTGATGTATGGCGAACACCATCATGCCACTTCAGACTTTTCATTTTCTTGGGTCAAATTTCATTTAGCTTGACTTCTCGTGCCAAGTTGCAACGATGGGCATTACTTACGTAGGGTAATTTATCACCCGACTGAGCTATTATTGGAAAGCCAGAGCGGTGAGGAAATGAAGAGCAGTGGGAAGGACTACCGGGGGTTGATCCAAAGCTGAACCCTTTGAAATTCAGCGGCTTTCGTATGTTAAATGATGGATTCTTGAGAGGGAGGATCACTAATTATCGATGCCTGGTCTGAAATAGCTGGGCCGGGAGGTTCGATGATGGTACGGAAATTCCAGGATAAGACAGAGGAGGCAAATGGAGGGAGGATATACAAGGGGAAAGGTGCAATTAAGCTCGAGTGATGTAGAGCGTCCGGTGCCGCTAGGTCATTTTGTATGCCTTCAGACAACGCACATAGTAGAGAGCTTTGAGGAGATATGAGTCTGAATGAGCAATGGATATCTGGTCATGAACTCTCATGCCGTCTCTTTCCACAATACAGATGGAGACATTTCTTGTTCTACACTGCTCGGTTCATGTTCGACTTCGAATGGGTTATATATACAGTGAATCCGTCGAGCTTGCTCAGTTCAAGTGGTAGAATCTTAACGGCCTTGTTCATTTCCCCAATCTTTATATAGTTGCCATTGTCACACAACCAGGACACACTGGATGAAATCTTGAGGGACGGGTCAATGTGCCCAGTTTCAAGCACTGACTTACACGATTGATGAGTGAAAGTGAATTAATCGATTTACTTGTATTTCGATGTGGTTCCTGAACCCACAAGTGACAGTTTAGGAAATGTGTGGTTGAGTGTAACCCCATCGAGGGTTTCTTCATAACGAAAATTAAAAGCCTCCGTCGTTTTGTTTACCAAAAAAAAAAGTTGCGTTTCCCGTTTCGCCATTTCAAGCCAAACCGTTTGCTCAATTTGACTAGCAGCACTCTACACCATCGAAACACGTCGCGTTCATGTGTACATAGCTCCGTGCCCGCTACACGAAGCCAATTCGAAGCCAAACTCTCCAAAATCAGCACCAGGCGAAAATAGTTGTCCTCCTTGCTTTTAGTTCTTCACCGCAATCACAATCGCGAGTACGATGAGCACCACGACCAGCGTGAGGAGCGCCATCAGCTTGACGTTCTTCCACCACATCTTCCTCTTCAAACCGCGGCTGCGGACACGGAATTCGCGCGCGCTGCCGCCGAGACGGTCCGTCTTGTCGACGAGCAAGTCGATGCGCTCGCCCCTCTCGAGCAAGCCCTCGATATTGCGCGTCATGATGCCGCGGACATCGTCAATCTCGCGCTGGACGTTGGAGATGGCATCGTCTTTCCCGTCGCTCGTGGTGCCGTAGTCGACCATGAACTTCTTGAGCTGGCCATTGTAGCTGGCGGCGCCGTAGTTGGGCAGCTCGGCGTAGTCGGTCGTCTCGGCGGGGAACTGATCGAGGAAGCGGCGGCGGATCTCAAAGAGGAAACCAAAGGGGATGCGGCGGCCCAGCGAGGCGTCGGCGATGACGAGGAAGGTGAGGCCGCCGGCGGAAGGGTGGTCTGGGTGGTCGGAGGGGGCCTCAGCGATGTAGTGGATGTGGTGCGAGCCGTGGGTGTAGGTCAGCTTCTGGGGGGTGTTGTGCTCGATTTTGGGGAGGATGACGGAGGCGAGGGAGGAGGTTTGCGATACGGCCGATGTGGTGCATTCGCTGAGGATGGTGTTATTGTGTGCTATGCACGAGCTGTAGGATGATGGTAAGTCAGCTATGTCCCCAGCAGAGGGGATGTTTGAGGCGGTGGTCTTCTTACTAGAGCAACGGGGTGATGGGCGTCGATGAAGAAGCCATGATGATAGGTATTGGGGTGTCCAAAGGATCTAAGGAGCCTATCTTGAGATGCTTGTTTGATTCCTTTTCAATGCGCCAGAGGCAAATAGGCAGCGATATTCAAGATGCGACGGCGGGTTGCGTACGATCGTAGGTAGGTAGGTAGACGGAGCGGAAGTCGGCGTGATGGGCGCTGTCGCAGAATGCAATGTGGGAACCTGGGGACCTGGGGATCTGGATGCGTGATGACGACGAGGACGGTGCAATCGGAGGCGGAGGCGCTAAGCCGGAGTGGAGCGACCCACGTCTGCCTGCCAAGGGCGAATCAGGGGTCATGGCGATAAGCATTCCAGACCTCTTATCGGTTCCCAAAATTTCCCAGTCCCTTCATGGATGTCAGTGACGGACCACCATGCTCTCCCACTGCACAGGTGTACTACTGCGAAAGGAGGGTGGCACGTAGACAATCTTGCCATTGACATACTCAAACAGGCATGCTTGTTGCATGCTGTTAGCCATGGTGTGTTGCGCAGGAAATCACCCACCATGAGATCAGTTTTGCGAGCCACGAAGCTCTGCGCGGCGGCGACACGTCTTGCGCCTGGCCATGGCTTCGCAACGTCCTCTCCGTCCGCCTACCAGGTACGTGGCAGCTTCTGTATCCCTCTTGAACCTAGAGGACACATTCTGATCATTGGAATTGATAGGCGACAATCGCAAGGCATTCTACCAGGAAATACTCACCTCCCGACCGCAAAACATCCAAATACGACGTCTTCAAGAACATGATCCTCACTCAGTTCAACATTGTCATTGACAACATGGGACGTTGGTCAGAGACCAACACCGAGTATCGAAACTTTGGCGTTCGAAGCGAGTATGGCCTCAATAACGAGATCGCCCTGTTCCGCGACACCATACAAAAAGCGATTGGCTTGGCCAACAAGGGTGCAACATTACGCAAGGAAAACCCGTTGTTCTGGTCCCTACGAAACGCCTTCATCCGTGGCGACGTCAAGGGCCTGACGGCAGAGCTGCGATACTCGTTCCAGAGCTTCATGCTGCGATCGAAACTGACACACTCGACGGCGCGGCAGAGAAAGTTGGCTGATTTGCGTTATCCAATGGAGTGGTTTCCCGCCACACGAGCCATGCAGCGCACTATTCACCTGCACGTCGGACCGACAAACTCTGGAAAGACGTATCGAGCGCTACAAGCCCTGATGAACTCAAAGTCCGGTATTTACGGAGGACCTCTTCGTCTCCTGGCTCACGAAATTTACTCTCGGTTCCAGGCCAACGGGAAGCCTTGTGCCATGGTCACGGGCGAGGAGCAGCGCATACCAGACGCTGACAATTACTTCATCAGCTGCACCGTCGAGATGACGCCTCTCAACCGAATTGTCGATGTGGCGGTTATAGACGAGATTCAGATGATTGGCCATGATGAACGAGGGTGGGCATGGACCCAGGCCCTCCTTGGCGTCATGGCGAAAGAGGTCCACCTCTGTGGCGAAGAACGAGTTGTCGACCTCATCAAGTCAATCTGCTCAAGTATCGGAGATGAGTGTATTGTCCACCGGTATGAACGACTTAGTCCGTTGCAAACGATGGAAAAGAGTCTCGGAAACGATCTTTCCAATCTGGAAAAGGGCGATGCCGTCGTGGCTTTCACGCGTGTCAACCTTCACGGTCTGAAAAACGCCATTGAGGAGACGACCGGCCGTCGATGTGCTATTGTCTACGGTTCACTGCCACCTGAAACTCGAGCGCAGCAGGCGGCTCTATTCAACGATCCCAACAATGACTACGATTTCTTGGTGGCTAGCGATGCCATCGGCATGGGCCTGAACCTGGAGATTAAACGCGTCATCTTTGAGACGTCAATGAAGCACGACGGTACGCAGTATCGTACGCTGACAACATCAGAAATCAAACAGATTGGTGGCCGAGCAGGAAGATACAAGACTGCTCGACAGGCGGCTACTGCAACGACTGACAGAGCCAACCAAGTTGAAGAGAAGAAGGTCGGCTACGTTACAACGCTTGCTGACGAGGATTTGCCCGCGATTGCAAAGGGGTTCAACACCGAAACGGCGCCGCTCGAGGCTGCAGGTATCCACCCCCCATCGCACATTATCGAGCAGTTCGCCGAATACTTCCCTCCCGATACGCCTCTCAGCTTTATCCTCTTGCGACTGCGCGAACTCGCGCCCGTCTCGGAGCGTTTCACGGTCTATGTTCCTGAAATCAGCGCCAAGATCGCAGACACCATCCAGGAGTTCCCCATGACAATTCAGGACCGTATCACCGTTCTTCACGCCCCAATCTCGCTTCGGGAGCAGGGGCAGATGGACCTTCTCAAGGCCATTGCCAAGTGCATCTCGACGAGGAGCAACGGCGCCCTGTACGATATTCAGCCTATCCAGCTGGAGCTGCTCGACGCCACGCTCGACGACTTCAACAATCAGGGAAGACGCTACCTTCACGCCATTGAGTCTCTGCATGCGGCCATCACCTTGTACTTGTGGGTGAGCTACCGCTTCCCCAACATCTTCACGAGTCAGGCGCTGGCGTTCCACGTCAAGGACGCCGTCGAGGAGAAGATCGAGTTCTACCTCGAGAACAACGCCGTCTTCGACCCCGAGGTGCACACCAAGGTCCGCGAGAAGCGACGCAGGGAGGCGAGAACCAAGGAGATGAAAGCGGAATTGGAGGTGGAGCTACGCAAACTTCAAGAAGAGGAAGACGGAAGTAGCGCAGAGGAGCCCGCTGGTCGCACCCCTCCCGAGGACGACTCTATCGATTTCGATCAGAGCTCTGTCGGGCTCGAGGAACCCCTGGTGGTGGATGAGAGAGACTATGAGACCGGGTTAAAAGAGAGCGAGGGGAAGCCTAAACAGGAGTCTGCCGTGTAGTACGACAGTATCAGGCTGAGGCTGACGAGGAGCTCTGGGAGCTTCGCCGGATGTAAGATAGTGTAGTCTTGTAGCTACACTCACTTGTATAATAGTATGTCTGGTGCCGCAGGCAAAACACATTGAAAGGCGCGAGGGAGGCTTGGTCGGGGCCTTGTACACTACAACACGGACATCACAAAAGGAGTAGGGCCAGTATACACTCCAGAAGCAGATGTAAGGTAGACATCATAGGATTTTAGAAATACCTCTCACACATCTCAAAGAGGAACTGTACACTTCGCATATGGTCAAACTCTGAATAGAAGAAAGTCCTCGGCTGGTGTCGCTCTACCCCAAGCTCCAAACCGAACACCCCGCATTCTAGGCTCATCGCAGGCGACCCCTGCCGGTTACCTCACCGACCCCACCACGTATCCCAGTTGCCTTTGGAGGGGCAAAAGTGACAGGGCAGCTCTACCTTACCTATCTTCCAGACAACTCCAACTAGCTCGCGCCCTTCATCCTACATAACCTCATAACCAAGCAAAAGAAAGAAACTGTCAAACTTCTTCCAAAGACCACACCAACACGTTACAACTAAACACTCAAAATCTTACAACAAAAGCGAGACAGACAATAAGAAAGGCCAAAAAACACTACCCAAGTCCTCCACAATGACCTCCACAAACCCCGACCCCTCCGCCGCAGCCCCGGCCTTCATCCCCCTCGAAGCCAACCCGGAGCTCATGACCTCCCTCCTCCACAAGCTCGGCCTCTCCCCCGCCCTCCAGATCCACGACGTCTACTCCCTCACCGACCCGGACATGCTCTCCTTCGTCCCGCGCCCCGCCCTCGCCGTCCTCCTCGTCTTCCCCGTCAGCGCCGCCTATGAGAGCCACCGCCTGGCCGAGGACGCCCTCCTGGACGAGTACAAGGGTAAAGGCCCACAGGAGCCCGTGCTGTGGTTCCGCCAGACGATCAGGAATGCGTGCGGTCTCATGGGGCTGTTGCACGCTGTTGCTAATGGGCCTGCGAGGGAGTATATTCGTACGTATTCGTCTTCTCTTCCTTTGCCCCTTCTCTGCACTTCCACACGCTGTTTTCTTCTGATAGAACATTAATCTAAACAACAAAACAGAGAAACCGTCCGACCTCAACACCCTAATCGAAACCGCAGAACCCCTCGAACCCGTCTCCCGCGCCCAACTCCTCGAGAAGACGCCCGCCCTCGCCACGGCGCACCGCGAAGCCGCGTCCCAGGGTGCGACCGAGGCGCCCGAGGCCTCGGACGACGTGGACCTGCACTACGTCTGCTTCGTGCGCGGCGACGATGGCACGCTCTGGGAGCTCGATGGGCGGCGCAAGGGCCCGCTGAACCGGGGGCAGCTCGAGTCCGGGGAGGATGTGTTGAGCGAGAAGGCGCTGACGTGGGGCCCGCGCAAGTTCCTCGAGAGGGAGGGTGCGGATTTGCGGTTTAGTGCTGTTGCTTTGGCTGGGTCTCTTGATTGAGAGGTCTAGGTTGGATGACGGGATTGAAATGCATGTGATTTGGCGTTCAGGTTAGGCGTGGTTCAAATCATCCTATCTTCAATCCAGGGTAGTGAGATGAAGACCGAATAAGAAGAGCTTCAGCTTTGCTATGTTGAGGTAATGACTAAAGGAAGGACTACTTGTTACATAGGTGTAGCTCCAAGACCGTATCCACCTTGGACTGCTTCACCAAAGTCAGTTCTATCGACAAATGATTCTACCGACTATTTGACTTCCAAAGCAGCGCTGAATCTTGCGACTCGGGCTTTCTCCACAGCTGGCCGGTTGTTCTTCTCTCTTCGTCTCTGCGCCCCTCGGAAGGAGTGTTGGCTGGCTCCTGGAGATCGAAGTCGAGCGGGTCGATAGCCTCTTCCATACTTGATTGATTATCCGCGCCTGGGTGTTTGTAAGGTTAGTGTTAGCCTCAGGAAGACCGACATACGGCGAAAGATCCACTTGCCTTCCGTTGCTACAACCTCCTTGAACTCGGTCGACGACTTTCTGTGAGCCTGAGTTCCGGCATCAGGCCCGCTGGTAAGCCCTAAGCTCATGTGAAGAATCTCGCAAGGGATCGAGTTGAATTCCGTCTTAGACTTTCTGTGAGAATCGGCGAGGTCGTCGGTCGTAGTGGGTATTGCCTGTGTTTCTACTGTTGCTGACGCAGAAGGAGACTCAACTCCGGCGGATGGCCAGTTTCCCGGCATCTGCTCTCCGTAGTTGTGGTCATGAGGTGTCTCTGGCGCCTGTGCCTGTAAGGCGTGACGATGATCGTGAGTCAAGCTAAGGTACTTGGGCTGTGCCTCATCCTCTTTGGACGTGGCGGAGGGCTTGTCAGAAGAGGGAGAAGGAGAAGACTTGGTGCTGAGCGAAGGGCTCTTTCTGGTATCCTCAATGATGGGGGAGCCGTCGTGCTCGGTAAAGAAGGGGACCTAGCCCTGGTTGTTGTCGGCCGGCTGTCGGGACTGGCTGGTGTCTGCCATTTTGTTCTGGAGGATTATTGGGACAAGCAGGAAGATGCTGGCAGGCAAACTGGCTGTTTGGAGAGCTTCTCGAGGATACTATGTGATTAGGGAATAGAAGTTGGAGATTTTCAGAGGAGGAGACGTGTAACGGTTTGGATGGCGATTATATTGTCACGGGCTAAGAAGTTGGGATTGTACGATGAAGATGGAGATGGTGTCGAACGGGGATGCTTCGTGTAGTCACAAAGAGGTCTCCCAAGGTGTGTGCGCCTTCTCATTGGACTGGGCTTCATTTACATCACGGAAAGCCCGGGTTGCCTTGCTCCTTCATTGACTAATACCTCAGAAACTAAGCAGAAGGTGCCCCCCTTCTCCTTTTTGCTGTCAAGCCCACGACATCACCGACAGGCAATCGTGAGCTAGAAGAGTAGAGTTACATGTCTCTTGCCTCTGCCAGTTCCATCATGTCCCATACGGAACGAAAATTTCTACCCTCTTTAGTTTGTCACGGTACTTATGTTGAGATTATCAAGTCAACAGCCCAATCACCGTAACCGTTGCAGGATCTTCTTGCTTAGGCTTACCTGAAATGTCAATCTCACGTACTTACTTAGTGAATCGAAGTACGCTCTTTGCGATCGGCAACCGGAACCTGCGAGTTGTCATAGGACCCCTCGTGTTCGAGCTAGTCACGGATAGAAGGCCCCCTTTGAGTCTTGACACTCCGAGTTGGTTTACTCGTGGAACCCATCTTGATAAGACTCTGGGGAAAGCCTCAAACCAGTGACTAGTGGTAGTTGATGGTGTGCAGCCCTGTACCCAATGATAGCCTCAAGATGTACTTCCCCTGATGACTCAGAAGTAATCCTTGAAGAATTGGGTATAGTGCGTGTGATGACACCGGCAGCGAGAGATGAGGCGGCGCCACGACACTTGTCTGCAGCAGTTGAACCGTTCTTGGCTACCACCTGCGGCTCCCACCGTGTTCGTCTACAAATAGGGGATTTAAGGAGTTCATCCAGCTTGTTGGGCAGTAAACTCGGACTATAGTACAAAATATCTGCAACAGCAATACCATCGAACAACGTGTGTTTCATCCGGAAGCTTGTTTCCTCGCATCTTCGCGCAAGGCTTCTGCGGTTGTGAGGCTCCTCAAACCCCGAAAGGTCGGACGGACCGGGGGAACACCACCATCTCAGCACCGACGCCATCCACAGTCTGACGTGCCCGCTCGGACCTCGGACGCTGCAGTGTTCAACGTTCGGACGTCGAAATGGGGAGCACGGGGCACCGTCCGAGCGGCGCCGGGGGCCGACGTGCTTGAATCTGGGAGAGTTGCGCCGGACTGCGGGTATCCCGCCCACAAAAGGAATGGGCACACCAGACGGCGTGACGGCGTCCTGGTAGTGTCGCTGGCCTTGCCTCTTCCTGGACCCTTCATTTGTGAACGCGAGGGGTGGTGGAAGATCCTTTCCCCTGAACGGCCTACCCCGCCTGTGTTTGGGTGCGGCCGTAAGTCTAGAAATCAGACCATGATTGAGGTTGGTAGAGAAAAGCAAGCTGAACCGGTTCCAGTATAACGCTTCTGGAGCCACTTTGCAGCATGGTGGTAACCCCTCGGATTTTGGTTGCATCTTTGAAGCTGTCGCTCACTTGAAAGCGCAAGTCGGAATGGAACGGCCTATGAAGGTGATGTTGGAAGCGAACTGGGAGAGTTAGGATAAAGCGATCCATAGAAACCACCGTGTTCCACGTGGTGGCCGATCGCCGCTAGAAGGCTAGCCGGATCGCGCGGTATGAAACGCTGAGAGCTTGCCCGTATATAGCAAACAATCCACTACTCTGCGGATACGAGCTAGGTAGATGCTTCCCCCTGAATAGAGGCGCTTGCCGTTCGCCGGTGAGCAACTTTGGTAAATTAACGTGTTATGGTGACCGGTTCGCCCTGTCATTGTAAGAAAAGCGCCAATGGGACACTCACACACCCGGAGATAGAAGACAGAAAAGAAGGATGGATTGGATTCTGTTCGTTTGTGAAGCCAGGCCGCAGATTGCGGCATTGCTGCCGGTGATCGCCGTTTCCCACTGCGGTGTCCGTCGCCATCATGCATCCGGCTGCAACATTGAGAGTGGCTGTTTTCTGTCACATTCTGTGACGCAGCTGACAAGTTGACGCGTCGATGCTTTAACGTGATGATGCTCATATAAACTCGTTTCCGGTTGATTCGCGGAAATGGTCCTTTGCGAAAGGGAGAAGCAAAGATTGGCGACGGAAAAGAAATAACAGCAGTTGCGAGGCGTCCAGAAAATCTACGAAGTACCTAACCTAATCCAATACAGGTGACTAAGCAGGTTATGTTGCAGGCGTGACGCGGTACCTAACTTCCCGGACTCAGATTCAAGAGTGACGGGTCACAGGTGCCCATTGTTCGCCAACTCTTTCCCGTAACACAACAGAAATCCCGTCAACATCAATTGATCCATCAATTACCGGCATCAAAGGAATCGCTTACATCTCCGACAGCCGTCACACGAAGCAATGCCGCGAAATTATAGCACGGTTCGTTCACCACTCAGAATAGAGTCATTATGGACCATCTCGTTCGCCGTTCATTCAGCTGGGACCAGCAAAACTCACACCGCACACCGTACTGAGGTGGCAGACCCTGCAATCTTTGGGCACCATCGTAGCTAGCGCCGGAGACTCGATGCTTTTCCAGCATTGTGGCGACCTGAACAACCATACCTACGCATGACATCTCGATTGACTCGGCCGTACTCCCTTGCCTTGCCTTATGCTTATTGATCTGTTGGGCTTGCCAGCTTGGAGCAAGTCGACGCGGCACACACGCCAGCCTCCAAGATTGATAATTGACTTTCGGATGCGTCATTTCAGTTCCATCGAATCGCGGCCAACACATCCGAGAAATAATACCAGGGGCGAATCCCTGAGGGTCCGAGGGATCTGCTTTCGCCCGCCTCCAATCAGCAGGGGGCGCAGAAAAGATGTCTCGCACATGAGCATCTACATCTACATCAGGGGCTGGGGACCCTCAGCCATGATCAATCCAGGGCCAGGCACATGCACGCTTATGGGAAAATGCAAGCAAGATGGACACAATGCAAGATGCAGGTGGACGACGCTTCAAACAGATGAGCGGAGAAACGTGTCGTCAACATGGTTCGATACGCGCCGTTTGGCGGGACGACGTCTGCTTTGATACCACTGCCGGTCGACGACTAACACCTCACGAATGCTAAGAACAAACATCCATCCGTCTACGCCGTTGACCACGACCATTCGGGTCGGTACTCCAAACGTCGAGCCCACTGTGACAAAGTCCAGTTTTTCCAAGACCAACGGAGCAAAGCCACACGCTACCGGCTGGCGCTGTCCAACAGGAATTCTTTGACTTTGTTGCTGGGACACACTAAGATGGCTAGTCCTGAGACCAGTCAGCTGGTGCTGCCAATAAAAGCAGCTGGCAAATGGGCTTCTTTCCAACCCTCGTCGATTGCTTTTTCTCCGAGGTGGCACTAATTACGACGTCTGACCCCTGAACCCAGGGCCATGTTTTCTTCTTTCTTGGATCGGCAGAGTGACCAGCATCGTGGAGGTGTATCGTCGTCTTTTGGAACAGATCCATGCTTGTTTGCGCTTGCGACAGCTATCAAGATCTGGAATCTCCTCCAGTCCTCCAGGATAGCAATCAACCTCGAAACCCAGGCACCACCTCGACTACGGATACCTTGGCACCAACAGACCGAGACCAATTCGGCTGTTTTGATGGATGGATTGCATTGGGCTTTCAGTTTGGCAATCGTAGTGCCCTGCAGAAAATCACCCAGAAGCGTGGAAACCTGAGACCTTCATTCACTTGCCCTCGAGCCGGACAGTAATAACAACGGCCGGAGGTCCTGAGATACTACAGAAAACCAGACCATGAAACAGGCTTGTAAGCCGTTTCGTGCTCTTCACACCTTTGTTGTCACTTTCGCACGGGCCGCGGTCCATCCCATTCCCTCCCATCCGACCATCTATCCGTCTACTTACCTGTTTTCGAAACCTTGATGCGCCATTTCGTCCGAGCAACCAGTCTTGTCACCACCACACCACACCAACGAGCCTGTTCTAAGCTTCTTTGCCACTCCTGCGCCATTCCTCAAGGCACCCAGAAGCCTGTTTGCATACCAAGACAGACAGATGGTTCGGACATGTGGAAATCAGCTTCTGATTGTAGCTCCCCCTGCTCTGCCGAAGAGTGACCTGAAATTCTGGTCATCTTGCTACGCTTTCCAAAGTGTAGTCTCTCTCTCTCTCTCTCTTCACGTCGTGTATTAAGGACAGACTTCATCTTCTAAACTGGGCAGAAAACAGCCACCCGCTCAAGTGACGGATCATGGGGGGGCCAGCGATCTGGCCTTTGAAGAGTCCTGCGCATCAGAGGAAAAAGTCTCAATGTCTCGATACTTTGCCTTTGACGGAAACCATGGCTCTTCCGCGGGTTTGTGCTACATCACACCATGCAACTCGGAGCAGCCACGCTCGGGGACATGGGTATCGCATCGTTTGACTGCATGAAGCCTTCGACCTGGGCCCAAAACTCGGTCTAGCGTAGACTATTTTCTGCTCATTCGCTCCGCTCCGTCATGTACATGCACGCACTTCAGCCTTAGCACCCGTCCACGACTCGTCGCGTCGCATTGTCCCTCCTTTCCTTTTTCTTTAGTCCACCTAGGTTCTAGGATCTGACGCTGTCCAGCCCACCCGCTCGGCTTTTAGACTCCCCTTCCCCCTTCTATCGGTACCCTTTTCCTTCCTCTTGTCGTCGTCTGTTCGTTCCATCGTCTTCTCACATCGTAATCGTACATGCGATGAGGCCTCGGTGTCTCGGTACTCAACTGTCTTCCAGCCTTTGAATTTCGCCTTCAACATCATTTTCCACCGGAAGCCAATCTCGAGCGTGCCGTCGGTTCGCAGCGTCCCTATTTGTCTTGTGTAGCCGCCATATGGAGGGCAAAAAGCTACGATAATGGGCTTCTTGAGGTTCTTCTCGTCCAAAAGGTCGTCTGACAAGTCATCAAACGGTATCAAGGCGCAAGCGTACGATGCTACGACTGCTTCTCTTCCCCCGCTTCTAGGTAGGATTGATCCAACACCCAGCCCAGCTTTATAGTCTAAACTTACATTAATTCCTAGGTACCTACCCGGTTGCCGGAAATGGACCAACCAATGTTTTCGAGGACCTTCAACGCTCTCATCATAAGATGAGCGAAACCAACTTGTCCCTTGCAGCGGGTTCCGAAGCTTCTGCCCCAGCACCGCCCGTCTTACGATTCCGTGATTCCAGCCTCGAGCGCCCGAGTTCTGCCCCGGGCAGCGCCGCACCTCCCAGCTTTTCACCGTCCCCGCCGGGCCGCTGGGGGAGAGACTCATCGAGGGGTCCGCCTTTGTCTTTTAGGAAACCACGGCTCGGGTCACTTACATCGACGACGTCTGGTCTATCAGGACTATCTCCCGCCCCAAAACGCAACAGCAATTCTCCAGCAATACCGTTCGAGGGAGATCCGTTTCGCCCACCAACTGCTCCTTTCACCCATAACCGGCACCTTTCCATGCAAAGCACAAGCACGGCCGCTGTCAGAGGCTTCATCGATCTGCTCGATGCGCAATCTGAGATCAAGCCTTCTGGTTTTCAGAGTCGGGTGAAGGCGTCAGGCGCTCGGGATTACGGAGAAGATGTTGCTGACCGCAACATTGGCGAGAACGGAGTAGACCTTGAATCCGACAAAGTCCAAGCATTTTACGCAACGAACGGTGGTAGTCCGCGGGATCGACACAACGGCGCGTTTGCAGCGCCAGCGAGGGCCCAGTTTGGAGACAAAGAACAAACGTTTAAGCCCCCTCGACGCCACGATTCACTGGACAACGAGGCCCGCACAAAGTCTCTGACATCGGCGAGCCTCGGCCAGGTCCCATTTCGAACTAATATGTTCAATCCTGAAAGCTCCCTTAGCCGTGAGCCAATCATGGAGTCCGTTTCGGAGACGATTCGTGGCCGTCGAAGGCAATCGCTAGGTGCTTACATTCCTACAACGCCATCAAATACAACAAACGGTAGAACGCTGAGTTTAAGAAAATCGACAGCCGATGCTTCTGGATCCCCGAGCGCTCGACAGCACAAGAGGAGGTCTACTCTCGGAGGCGAAGCTCCCCTGAACGAATTGGGCATCTTTACCCCGGGTGGTGGGCATCCTGACCCGTCGTTGTCGCCAAAAATGAGCCAGAAGCCAACGTATTTGGTCAAGCACAACTACTCATTACCAGTCCAGCAACGGCCAAAGACTTCGTCAGGTCTTGTCCACACCGAATCATACCAGGCGGTGAGGCCGCCATCCCGCGGAGGGTCAGTAGCCAGTCCCACATTCTCCTCCCCAACCCAGAAGTCGCCATCCAAACGGCACACCCTTTCCGCGATAGGCGGTGCTGCAGCATCTTCCCGTCCTACCGAGTGGCCGCGGAATGCGAAGCCCGACGGAGGGTCCGGCAAAAGAGGATGGGTCGGCCGAGTTGAGGTTGAGAGCTTTGTTGATTCTGCGGATGTGTCCTCACCGGCGCCTTCACCTCGTTAGTTTTTACCGTCGATTCTCTACCGTCTTCTGTTGTTTACTCCCGGAAGATCTTCTGCTAACACGACTTGCTTGACAGATGTGATGAGAAGTGGCCACTCGTGGCTTGAGGCCCCAGATGATTCCTACTTGCGATCCAAGAGTAACGGCGCACCATTCGGAAAGGGCAAGCTTGACGAGATCTACGAACACGTGCCGATGCGGACAAGTAGTCTCCGGCACTGGTCGATTTCGTCCGCGACTCCCACTATGTCGAGCACCAGCTCCTTCCAACGACCTCATTCTCGGCACACGACAACGACGACGGTCGATCTAGCTACTATGTCGTCCTTTCTCAACGACAGCTGCAGCTCCTTGCATAGTGGTACGGGTGATCATGCGTCGTTTTGCACAGCACTGGAGAGTGCCTTGCCCTCGCCGATTACCCCAGCAAAGCCCGGAGACGCATTCAATATTGACGACTACCTGTCGTCCGATGACGACATTGACGCCGACTCATTCATCACTACGCGGAAGCGTGATTCAGCACACAGCGGCGGCCACGAAGAAGGGCTCCTCTTCAGCGACGAAGGGTACGGCGAAGGCGGTCTACAGCTACCGGGCCTCTTTGACAGCCTATCCAACATCCCGGATCCCGATACCACGTCGCCAGAGCGGTTCGGTCACAAGTATTCCCTCAGTAACCCCAGTGGTCGTTTACATAGAAGGTTCTCTCTAGACCCGAGGATCGAAGCACCAATGTCCACTTTTGATGAGGGCGATAATGATGCCGAGGACGAGGACGATGGTCTATATGATATTCCCATGCGGTCAGATCTGGCTCTCGGGCGCCGGGGCACACGGAGGATCTCGGCGCTGGGAACCATGTACCAGAGTATTGAGGAGGAAAAGGACGAAAAGGTCGACGTTCGGGCTGCGGTTCGTCTTCGAAAGGAAGACAAGGCGCGGCAGCGGGCGTTGGCTAGATTCAGCAGAGTGCAGCATAAGAGGGTTTCCCAGTTCGAGGTAAAGCAGGGCGGTAGTGAGTGAGCCTGTGGAAGGTGGATTTTCAGCGTGTAAGAGAGTGGTCAAGGCGCAAGAGCGATTTGTACATGTTAACGAGGAGTTCAGAGGGCTATACCCAGGGATATCTTGCTAGGGATCTCGGAAGGAGAGGAAACGGAGGGAATGGGCCTCTGGCCGGGACATAGATCTTGTTGGGCGTATTTTTGAGTTTTGTCACGAATCACGTCTGCCTTCTCGGCTGTTTGATAGAACAATATGATACCATATCTAATTCTTACAACACTTTGTTCGGTTCTTATCGTCCATTATAACAAATATCTTCTTATGGCTTGAATACAATGTCTATATACTAACAAGTGCTTAAAGGCCTAGATCTGAGATGATATAATAACCCTCCCCTTTTTTTTTTAAACCTGGCAAACAATGGGTGATATACCGTAACGAAAATCCACCCCACAGGACTTGTGCGCCCACAAGCCACTTTAAACCTCTTCCAGAGTAATTCACGTGAATACAAACATGTTGGTGTTATGCATCTCGTCAACACCGCCGCTGCCACTGTCACCACCACCGCCCAGGAATGCACTCCAGTCCATCTCCACCAGCTGCTCGTCGCACCACATGGACATGTCTATACTGTTTTCTGTCGAGGGCGTACGAATGGCGGAACCGGCGCCGGAGCCTTCGAGGTCGGTCGTGACGGCCTCGTATAGGGCGCCGACGATATCAGGAGTGCGATCCGAGTCGCGCATCCAGGAGCGCATATCGTTGAAGAGCTCGAGGGCTTTTGTGAGACTTGCGCACCAAGAGGGTAGCAAAATGTTGTGCTCGGGGGAGTTGATTGTCACTGCTGTTGGCATCTGTAGTATTCCCAGATGTGATGCTTGCGAGGGGACTGTGGATGATGGTGGTGGTGGGTATTGTGATTGTTCCTGTTGCTGTTGATGTTGCTGCCTACGGGCCGAATTACGCACATGTGCGTCAATGGCGATGGAGAGTATTGGAACCATGCATGCTTGGAAAAGGTACCATGCCGAGTTCCAGACGTGGATGCGGTTAGGTGTCCAGTAAAGTGTAATGGCATCGATGGCCTCCATGGCGACGGAGCGGCAGGTTTCAACGAGGGCTAGCTCTTCGGGGGAAGGCCCTGAGACAGCCGAGATGGCGTTGGCGCCGCGTCTGAGGGAATGATCGTGTGCAAGGTAGAGTAAGAAGCTTCGCGTAAGGATGAGGCGGACGTTGAGGTAGCGGTTCCGCATAAACTCCCGGGCTTCCGTCAGACGAGGTGGAGAATTTGCTGGGTTCTTGAGAAAGTCGGGAAGAGAGTTATGCCACTCTACCAGCTCGCGGTCGAAAGCCATGGCCTCGCGGGCGGATAAGCGCGCGGGTTGCGCAAAACGATGCTGAATCCTGTCACAGATGTGGCAGAACAGACAGCTTGCTCGTAACGATGCTGCTACGTGGTCATCGGGAAACAATGGCGTGGGTAAAAGCGTGTCCATGGTACTGCTATCCCATCGGCCACACGTAGGGCGGCCGAGGGTCATGCTCGCCCACGTATCGAGGCAGAAAAGACTCCACCAGGTTCTTCTACGCGTTTCGGCGCGTGAGATGTAATTGTCGTGCTCCGTGACGTTCTCGGCACGACTGCGGGCGGGTTCTCGATGCAATCCAAGGGCTATTGCGACGCGGTGAGCTGCACCGAGAACAGCATATGCCATGTTGGGCGAGTTTCGGTAGTGTAAGTAGTAGCCCCCGAGAAGGCAGAGAGCTTGTAGACTCTCCATGTTACCAGAGCCCAAGGAATCGAGATCGAGGAAAGAGCGTGCCTGTCTATAGTATTGAACGTGGAGAGAGTCGCTGCCGGAGGCAATGGAGCCCAGAGTGTAAACCATGTTGAGTAGGGCCAGCCAAGAGCCGTCAAGACGAGTTCCTGACGCAAAGTTGCGTCTGAAGTCATCTTCATTAAGAATCGGTGTTACTGGGTGGATGTGATCAAAGTAAAAGTCGATACAGCGCTGTTCCCGCAGAGGGTTCATACCCGCGCCGGGGCTGACAAGAGACAGTGACGGAAGCAGCTGAGACTGGTAATGGACATCGTTCCACGCCTTTGCCCTCTGAGCCGTGTGCTCTTTGGCAGCTGGACAGAGACGAAATATCACCCTGAGAACGGCACTCATGGATGTGACGCCGAGATATGAGCGGCGATGCTGGTCTGTTGCTAGGCTGACGGCGTTGATATCGTCGCTAGAGCCAAGGGTCGCCGGCTGCTGGGCTGGTTCATCCCATCGTCTTTCGTTTGCAGCATCTCCATTTTCAGAATTTTGCGCCGAATCATCGTGGCGGTCATCATCGTCATCCTCATCGGCTGCTGAGACACCAGCTGGCGAAGGGTCGGCCTGCGGAACCGAGGAGCCCAAAGCAAAGAGGGATTCTCGCGGCAACAAAGAGAGCAACTCTGCTCGACTCTTACCTACTAGATCGTTCACGTCAACATCAGGGAAGAGTTTCTGCAGCACGCTAGACTGAGCGCGGAGCTGCTCTGAGGTCTTTTCGAGAGTACTGGGGTACACGTCAGCCTTGATGATCCTGCAGGAAAGAAAGCATCGGGGGTCTAATGAGAGGCAAGGGTCACTGCATACCTTCTGCTCACAGCATGTCGTCTGCTACGCTGCCTGTACTCGCATGAATCTGCAACCTTGTAGTACTGACAACTCGCACAAGGATGTCCACCATCGCACTTGACCTTGCGTCTGGTGCATTCCTGACATGAGCGGTTGACCTTGCGCGAAGTTGTCGGTGAGCTCCCGGCCGAACCCTCGGGGCTGCGGTGGCTGTCAAAGGAGTGGAACATGGTCGCCCGACCCGTGGCTGTTGTAGTGGTGGTGGTGGTTGTAGTCGGCATTTACACGGCCCTCGACACGGCGAAAGACCCAATTGAGTGGGAGACATTGGGGGGAGGGATATGCGGAGAGCCGGAGATTTGGAGGCGCGGGCCTGGAATAGAAATATGTGGGTTGAAGAAGAGGACGGGAAGGGTGACGTTGATCTGCCCGTGAGGAGGAGTTTGAGGATGAGGAGGAGGAAGAGAAGGGGCCGAGGAGAATGTTGTCAAAGGGAATGGCGCGGGGAAAGTGCGAGGAGCGCCTGTGATGAACATGGGGAAGGAGCAACCTGAGTGTGGGGTTAAGTTGGCAGCTGCCAGTTGGAGTTCAGCACTAAAACTCGGTACAAAATACATTGCAAAAGTAAGTACTTACATCAAGTATTTGGACTAAGTACCTTTAGTACGAACAGGGGTGGCACTGGTGCTTCTATTTGGGAAGGAGTCAAGACCACTTTTTCACCCGACCCGGCGGCACCTTTAGGCCTTGAACCTTGGGCCCCTTGGCCTAGACCAGATCGCCCATTTTTGACACTTCCAGTCCGGTTCCCTTCCTTCATTCACACTCAAACTGAGTCTCAAAAGAACCTGGAAATTTGACTGCCTGAGCAACTCCCTAGTTGACGGATGGATCTAACTATGAAGTTACAATTTTACCCTCTTGACAAAGCCACAACGAGGTAGTGTCATTCTTGTCACCTTCCCGTTCTGATAAGCCCGGGCAGCCAAAACGTTAAACGTCAAACATCAACTGGTAATGCCTTAAGCACGTTCTCCAGGCACCAAGAATTTGACCTTGGCTTGGCTACATCTAATGTCTACGATGCCGACTAAGAGATTGGTCAAAGAGTTGTTCCACTTCCCAGCCCGGCCCGATGATCTCCAGCACGTCAAAGCGAACCCAACGTAACCTAGGCCCGCCCCAGATATCTCCTCAACTGCCCACTATTACCCCAAGCCCCTGATTGAAACACTGGGGACCTTAGTTATCGTGGTAGGGTTCTTTCTAGGCAACAAACATTCTAGCTTTTACTTATACGACCTCTCTCCGTAGTTACACCGTCAAGTGCCGCCAGAATGTCCCCTTTTAGTTTCAGCCCCATGGTCACTTGACTACCTTACCTACCTTAGGTAGGGCTAGACGCCTTCCATCACGACATGGCCATGACCTTTTGCGATCCATGGTCCGTGGTATCCGTACTAGCGCAACGTTGCAAGAACTACGGGTTCCCCGATGCGTACATCCGCTGTAAATTCATCACCTGCCTGATTCATTGGAAATCTGAAAAGAATTCATCGAGAAGGTTGTTGACTAGAGCGTGGCTGAGAATTCCAGCATGGTATCCAATCTCCGGGGAAAGGCTGAGAGTGAACTCCTCAAACTCAACTTTTCGAGACCTACCTTATGCCGGTTCTATTACCATTCCCAGAATCGTGCAAACAGGTCTTCTCGAAAACTTCTAAACCTACAATAAGCCACTCTCATCTGCGTGTCTAGGAAATAGGAACCCACGTGCCTTGTGTGGTATATTGATTGCGCCTACGATTTCCGGGTCGGGCCCGCGAGCAACCGGACCGACCCAGTTCTAATCTCTTTCCAAAAGGCCCGAGATGTGAGGCTGTCTCTCGTGCAGAAGGGATGCATGCTTGACCGACCCCTTACGAGTTGTGACCTTGTCTACTTTCATCAGGGCCGGCAAGCCAGCCTCGGCCCACAACCACACGGCAATGGATACATGGCGTGGAGCAAGTGCCAAGAAGCTTCCCAAAGAATCCAGCGCGGAGACTGAAGGAACGCCCGCATTGTTTCAATTGCTCCTCCCTGCTTTATCCGTACAAGAGTCGAGGCGCTCGAGGCAGAGTAATTAGCGGCAGGACCCGCCGCCATCAAGGAAGCACATCTTGGACTAATCTAGGGGGAATGGACTGCCGGTCATAGATCGAATGAAATGTGCAATGAGAAACTGGATTACTCCTTTTGAATGCGAAGGAGAATGCGGTGTATGAGAGAGAAGGTCTAGTTGTTAGTTTATTAGCTTGGAACTAGCCATACGGCTTGATCTGTGCCCACTACAAGGACACACCGAGCAGATGGACAACCAAGAGCACGTACGGGAGGATTCTTGTGGATCGCATACCACCATTTCTTGTACCATGTCTTGATCCCTGAAGACGATGCCGCATGCGCTCTGGTAGTCTCAGTGCTCACTGCTTAGCAGGTTCATTATCAACCCCTCACTAGGGTAATCCAAGCGATCCTCTGTAAGTAGGGGCGGCTAAGAGAAGCTCTCATCATTGTCGATCGATCCATTGCGAAACACACTTGAATGAATAGCCTCTAATGAATAGTGACTAAAGTCATAGCTAAGTGCTGCCTTACTCACTGAGTAATGTAAGTATTTCTGGGCAAAATAACCAGTTGTTGCTCTCGGCTCCGACGGATTGTAACTAAGGGGCCGAGTAGGCGTCGTGGTAAGTTACCTTAGCGGAGACGGTGATGCCGAGAACCATGTGCAGAAAGATTGCCATCGAGAGGCCAAAGTTGTATTTATTCATCACATGTGCGTCTGCTTGATTGAATCTTTGATACCTGAAAGCTTTGCCTTACCTTAATTCTGGTGCCTAGCCTACAGCATGTGGAGTTGTTGTGCGATGCCGTGGGCTGTGAAATAGACGGCATTCTCTCGCCAGGTTTGACTCGATCACACTCTAGTGTCTCGATTGAACCATCATCGAGTGTCCATTATTTATAACAAATCAGGCTCCCGAGTCTTCTGATTGTGGGTTGAATGGCGATCAACTTGTTCGACCGCAGCCAAGACTCAAAATGGATCAACAGGAGTGACGCCAACGAGAGAAGGGAACGGGGTATGCGTGCTAGCATCATTCTTAACAGGCAGTAGATTTGGCCCCAACTGCTGGTTCTCGATGACCATTCCAGATTTAAGGCACACATCATCACTTGAAGCACCTTACTTTACTTTAGGTAGGATTGGACCTAAGAGGGAATATTCTTCAGACAGGCTCGCATGATCAGCCTGTACATAAAACTCCTCGATTTTTCCAGGGGCTGATCTTAGCTCACACCTTTCTGATGATTCGATCATGGCAGGCGAATGAATCGCTCCTGAGCAATACGGACTGTCCGGTAGATAACGTGGGGAGAGATACTTGGGACTGGCGTCTGAGTGCTATCCAGTCTCTGGCTGATCTGAATCTACTAAGCTGGGTGATGCAAGCGAAAGCGAAAGGCAACTCTGGAGTAATTCGGAAGTCTTTTTTTAAATGTCTTCGAGATAAATGCTGCTAAGTCACTGAGAACGGTGTCATGGAGAGCAATACGGCCGAATGGTCAGCGCCCAGGGGTTGCTTGAGGCTGTCGATACTTTCTCAGGGGCATCTTATTGCTCTATATTTCTTGAAAGAATTTTTCTGCCAGGGAATAAAGCCTGTTGACGCTCTGGTAGTGAATTTAATCCAGTCTCAGGGGGTCGTCGTCACAGAGGGGGTAGGCTGCATGTTTCCGAAAGGGGGCCTGGGCCTGGTGGTCCACCATCCATGGACGCTTGCATCGCCGCAAGCTCCGAACCATTAATTACATTATCGGGCAACTTTTTTGTGAAACTGAGACTTCTCATTGTCGTCAAGATCGACTATTGGAAAGTAGAAGACGAATGAAAATTGAAGGATACGTCTTGCCTCATGGTGGTTACTCTTTCATCATAAGTGAATGGCTTCCACGTATTTTCGTCTACAATTTCGGCCCGCAAAAACTCTCAAATTCTCAACCCCGAGACTAGATGCACGAACCTCGGCTTGTAAAATGAATTTAGTGTCTTCGATTGTGTAGCAAGAGCATCCAAAAGCTCTTCGGCATACCTAAGTATCAATGCCGAATAGGTGGTGTATATCGGAACTTCCTACCGGGCGTTCTGGGACCGTTCGATACTGCCCAGATCGCCGGACTTTGAAACTGAAATTGGGCCACGTCCACGACTGACGCATGTTCTGTGAGGACGACGCTGAGTGTCAATGATCTAAGTAGGGCAAGTAGTATGAAGCTAGTGAAGCGGCACTTGGATGCCGAACGCTAGATGCGCTGAAAGAAAGTAAACCAAAATTCTGGGCACCTTCACTAGAGTTAGATGGCTAGCAAAGTGCCAGAGGCATTCATGGGTGAAAACGAGATCTGTGGGATTCGATCAACGGTCTTCCATCGCTCTTCCAATTGTAAAGGATCATCAGCAATGGAATGAATGGGATAAGTTCCATCCGTAGCTAGTCACACAAATTGGTCAAGGTAAATGAAAGACAAGAAGTGACAGCCCACCTTGAGCTTCCGATTTCGTCAGTGTGGACAGTTATATGGGCCTCAGTTTTCGTTTCCTCGCGTACTAAATGCCGAATGAGGCGATAGTGAGCTTGAACTGATTGCTGCCTGGAATTTAATCTATTATCATTCATTTCCCTTCCAAGAACTCTCCGGCCAACGTCCGATCATCACAAGGCTACGAATCTAGCCGCCCGAGCCTGATCTAATCGTCGATCGAGTATACCATCTGGAACGAAATGGTTGTAAAACACTTCAATAGCATCCCTCATCTCCTGAAATCTACCCCCGAAAGCTTCGGACCCGAATCGGCAAGAGGACATACTATCTCCAGGGCCGCAATCTTCACGGTTCCAAAAGTTCCATATCACCTTGCGTGGATGCCAATTGATCTCAATAAAGCTTCCGGAGCTGCTCAAGTCAGGCTGCATCACGGCCTCGTGCTCCTGATCCACATTGCTGAACGACTCCTCCCATGAGGCCGCCGCGGCGGACTCACCCTCGTCCCCGTCTCCGTCCTCCTTGATACAATCAATTACGAAAGCCCTACGCGCAAATTGACGATCCATGATACGCTCGGCGAGAAACCACGAAGCGGCCTCGGCCTTGTCAGCGATGCGCAAACGGCTTTGGTACTCGGCATCATGATGGCGCATGCACGTCTCCATGCGCTGATTGAGGGAGAAGGTGATTGGTAGGGGCAGCGTGACGACTTCGATACGATCTGCTCCGTAGCGGATCTTCGCCCGCTTCGTTTTGGTGTGGTCAAACAGGGCGCGGGCAAGCTGAGCACTGCGGGCGGGACGGGCAGTCTCCGAGGTGTCGTACAGGACGAAACCGAATGGTGGACGTAGAGCTCGAAGCGCGGTTAAGTCGGATTCAGGGGTGTCGTCATGGATTTGGTACGCTGCGAAGGTGGGAGCCCCGTCGTGGCAGGGCGAGGCCTGAACAAATGTCTTATTTGGTGGACGACTCTTGTTTTCCTCTTCATCTTTTTCTCCTTCCTCCTCGGCTCTTTCTCTTTCTATGTGAGCTGCTTCTTCTATCTTTCGGCGAGCGACGTCTTTTGCTCGCATGCTAGGAGGAGCGCTGTCTAGACGCTTGTTGTCGAAGCAGTGGTGGCACATTGCGGTGAGAAATGCTGGCTTGATGCTAAGAGTGCGAGAGACGATGAAGAGATGCTCGTTTCCTTTTCTACTATTGGCCGAGGAAAATTACTGATGTGATTGAGACACAGAAAACAAATGTTTGTTGGCTCTCTTAGTTAGTGGTTATGGCTGCCTAGAAGTCATCGTGGACTTGGCCGCTGGCTGCCGCCTAGTTCCACCTCCTGATCAAAGCCAGACGCCCCGCAAGAGTAATGTGGAGGCTTTGGAATCCGTTCATAATTATGTGAGAGTTAATAGTGATTCTGGCGAAAAGAAGCATCATCAACATTTTGTCAATTTTGATTCTTAGATGAGGATCTAGCCCTTCAATATATGGCATATAGGGCAATTGTTTAGGATTCGAATTGCTTGATTACCTATTCCAGTCGCGTCGTGCCCTTCAGACTTTTCAGAACAAGAAGCAGTCCATCACTTGACCATCAGCATGAGCGACGTTGGAAGTGAGCTCGGGTTCCTGAATGCCCGTCGGAAAGACACCATAGTTGCAAATTGATTTCGCTCACCGGTATGTAAGAGCCTGAACGAGTTCAACTTCAAGTTATTCGTGTTGAGGTCAAATTTCGAATGAGGGCAGATTTGAGAGCCGAGTGCCGGACGTGCGTGTTCACACACATCAAGGGCATCGCGTGTTGAATGTCTGACATTTGACGGCAACGGCCTGTATTGATTGACGCGCTGTGATCAATTTGATAATCTTCCTAATTCTATCTACAAGATTTCGGATTCCTAGACAAATCAATTATTGAGCCTAAAACGTGGCAATCATCCCTCGGAGAGTAGTGGAAAGCCTGGCTCACCGTGTAATGTCTACTGCGTGCGTGGACGACAGTGGCGCCGACCGTTCAATGTGCTTACTTGGGGTTAGGAGACCGGTGAAGACCCCTGGATCGGGGTTAGCGACGAGTTCTTAAACACAGTGGTGTGAAAGCGCTGGTTCGTTGGTTGGTGATCGTCCCAAGGGTATGGTGGGTTATTTCCATTCGCGATGAGGATTCCGCCAAGACACAACAACCAACAACGGGTAGTTTCCTCCGATGGAAGGAGGGGTAAATTCGCCTCTTCCCGTGATAATAGATTATTCCAAAGCCCTGATCTTCTCGGCGTTGACATTGGAGTCTCTTCGACGGTCACATCCTACACCTACCCTTCCCGATACGACGCGGACTTGATTAAACATAGAATGGAGGCCTCAACTCAGCCCAGCGCCAGTCCTGCGACTGCTTCTACAGTCTCACCGGCTGCGGCCGCGATTGAGCCTGCGGCAGTAGCGAACGACCCTGTGAGAACTTTCGCGTGAAACTCAAACAGTTTTAGGGCTTGTGACTTTAGGTCCTGGAGGAATTTGTCCTGATTGTGGCAGAAAAGTATCGATATACTGACATGTCATCGAGTGCTAGAATCCTATTGTCGCAGCTGACGATGATGATCATGATTCTTTGGCGGACACAGAGAGGTGTGTGCTCGACTCCAAAATCCCAAGTGAGACGGAACACTAACAGAAGCGGGTAAAGCGTTGCGACCGAGTCGACTGCATCGCTAGCTGAGAGCATCACCGAATACCGCAGAATTCATGGTCGTACTTATACGCAAAAGGCCGACTACTGGGGTCCGAACGACGAGCAACAAAATGAAGGGCTTGATCTGGCGTGAGCAGTAAGGAACTTCCTCCAAATTTTCAGTTGGCTAATTCACGCCTTGCTCGAAGGCATTACTGGGAAACGCTCCTCCTTGGCGACAAGCTTTTCCTTTCACCGCTCGGGAATGGCCCTTTGGTAAGAAGCTTCCACCTCCAGTCAAGACACAACTCTGAAGAATTGAATAGAAGGTCCTCGACTTAGGAACTGGTACTGGTATCTGGGCAATGTAAGGTTTTTGATACGTTCCACCTAAAATGACCAGGCCAAAGCTGACAGAGACGCAGTGACTTCGCTGACGAGTTCCCGTCTTCCGAAGTAACGGGCGTCGACATCTCACCTATCCAGCCTGGCTGGGTGCCGCCCAACTGCAAGTTCCAAATCGACGATGTCGAACAGCCATGGACATGGACTCCTGATTTCGATTTCATCCATCTCCGCCACATGGAGGCTTGCATCTCCAACTGGTCTGCTTTCTACAAACAAATCTACGATCACCTCAAGCCCGGCGGATACTTTGAAATGAAGGACTTTGACATTGAGTTCCGCTCTCAGGCGTATAGGGATAGTCTCCCGGAAGACCACGTCTATCGCAGGTGGGGCAAGATCTTTTTCGAAGCTGCAAACCGCCTCGGTAAGTCCATGGATCAGTCGCGAGGGGGCCACAAAATCGCCGATGCTATGAGGGACGCCGGTTTCGTCGATATTGTCGAGAAGAGCTGGCCTGTACCGATTGGAGGCTGGCCCAAAGATCCTACGTTGAAGGAGGTTGGCATTTGCAACCTAGAGTTTCACGACCAATCGCTCGAAGGTTTTTCCATGTTTCTGTTGACTCAGGTGATGGATTGGGATAGCATATCGGCGGGAGTGTTCGTCGCTGAAGCTCGCAGAGCTCTCAAGGACCCTAAGCTCCAAACGGTTATATATTTGTGAGTCGATTGTGGTTTCTGGGTCTAGTCAAGGCTATGCTGACATGACATAGGCGAAATGTGTACGGACGTAAACCTAAGGGATCATCTTAGCTTGGGCTTTCCAAGGCGCTTCCCATCTTTTGACAGCTTTAATGACCACGGCCAGCACCGAGTAAGGTGGTCAGATTGAGTGGGGTCTCACAGCACCTTCTTTGGATAGGACTGAGGTTGAGAGCAACGAACATAGGCCTTGTCTGTTCAACCGAGCCTCAAATTTCTTCAACCATGCCCCTTGATTTTCTAAATACAAATTTCACAACTTTGACTTCAACTCTATATCGATCGCTTCGAGGCCGGACGATCCATCATAAAGCTGCGCTTGTAAACCATTCGTGTTAATCTAATGCGAAAACGTTAGCCATGTCGCCATCAATGACGATGAATTCAGGGTGGGCGACTCGGACTTACGTGTCTTGGTCCAAGTTGATCCACAGACTCAACACCAAGCAGCCTCATTGCGGTGGCGGTCTCATCCGCAAGAACTACACAACAACGTCAGCTCTCGATTCACGAATGATAACCTTTGCCATGAGGTTGAACTTACTCTGTAATGCCCTTTCAACACCCGCTTGTCCCCCAACAGCTAAGCTGTACAGTGCCGCCCTTCCAATGCCGACACCCTTGGCTCCTAGAGCAAGAGCTTTGACGACGTCTGTACCTCTTTTGATACCTCCATCGATGAGAACATCAATCTTGTCAAACACTTCGGGACAGAACTTCCGAATCTCCAGAAGTACTTGTACAGGCGTCATTGTCGTATCCAGGGCCCGTCCACCATGATTCGAAATGATGATGCCCTTCACACTCGGAAACAGGGTCGCCGCATACGCATCCTCGTGCGTCTGGATGCCTTTCAGCACAATCGGGAGAGTCGTGTGTTTGGCAAGCCAGGCGAGCGTCTCCTTCCACGTCAGTCCCGACTCTGTGCCCCATACCCCCGGTGGCGCACCCCCCGCAATCTCTGCCATCTTGAATCGCTCGTCTGCTTCTCGTTTGCCGGGGAATGGAGCGTCTAGTGTGAGCACGATGAATTTGATTTGTGGAATGGCTCGAATCTGTGCCAATGTCTTCTCGGTCGCTTCGATATCCTTCAGAACGTAGAGCTGCCAGGCAAAAGTGGCGTCTGGGCCGGCCTGCACAATCGCCAAGGGAGACATTGACGCATTCTTGCTGATGATTTGCAACCCTTTGAACTTTGAGCACGCCGCTGCAATGCCTGCCTCGCCTACTGGGTGCGCCAATTTGGCCATGGCCGCGGGCGAAACGTAGATTGGCATTCCAACTGCATTTCCAAGGAGGTTTGTCGACAAGGAGCACCGGGTACAGTCAACAAAAACCCGTGGTCGTAGGAGAATGGATCGGAAAATGGTGCCATTCCCAATCTTAGTGACCTCGTCATCGGTTCCAGAGGCGTAGTACGAGATGGCTTTCGGGCTCATCTTTCGCAAGGCAAAGTGTTCCATCTCAGCAATGCTCAGGATCTGAGACACTGGAGGTACACCGTCGGACTTTTCTGGTGATGGCGATGAGTCCGCGAGTACGTCTGGGGGAGGCATATCTGATTGCAGCCCAGGTCCCGTTCCTGTGACTTCAATCATTCCCATCGACTGATCAGGCCGGAGATACTCTTCCAAGAGCTCAACTGGATGGACGGCATCAAACGCTGCGGTAGCATCTTTGCCTGCATTCTTCAGGAGGATGGCTTTACCGCCTGGATGGCTGGGGAGAAACGATGTGATCTGCCTCTTCCGATGAATCTCTATACGCTTGTAACAGGGCTAGAAAACGTACATCGTAGACTTTGCCATGGATGGCCATCCAACAATCGTCAACAGTTCGATGTTGACGCACTGGAAACTTTTAGCTTCATGTTGTTTCGTCACGAGGCATGAGACAGGCACCTTCGGGGAGCGACCACTTTCGACTCATTATGGCGATAGAAGAATCGCCTCAAACATGATTTGATTCTGCGGATGGATGAGATAAACAGCCTAACATGGAACTGCTAAATTCTTGCAGGCTGGTGTCATGATGCGCTGAAGTGACAAGGCACGATGCGGAACCTCTTTCAACTGGTACTTCTGGGTGGTCTGTGGCATGTATCTCACTATACCCATATATGCAACTTGGCCGGGAGTTTATAATCCCATCTGCCCCTTTTGGATGCGGGCTTTCATATCCCCGGTAGGATGTGGCACGTCCCCAAGGTCTCCGCAGTTGAATCCACCTTTCTCCCCACCCATCTTAGTCAACCCCAAATTTCACTCCAGGGTCGGGACTCACCATTGGTACAGCAGTGTCCGCAGATATAGTAGAGAAGCCAGTTGAATCCTTTCTCGAAACCGGCGAATGATTCAATCGAGGCTTTGGATTATTAAAAAGGAATGCGTAGAACCTCTGAGATTCGAGAAGAAGAAGCTTAGTCTCACTGTCTCACAGACCATAAGTTGTCCAGTCCCTATCCTATATCTGCTGTCGCAAGCTACTAACAATCTCGTGAGCTCGATCTGCAATTAAGGCTCAAGCAGCTTAGGGACTTTATAGTGAGATATGTACTGAGTCAACCCACTCATGAAGTTGTAACTTGACGTTGTCTTATGGATGCTGTCGGTATAAGAAGACTAGCTTGTAGGGGCCTGGTCGAGCTGGTCAGTGAGTCGCGGCGTGGACTGCAGCACGCCCGTTGCAACCCATCAATCTTGCTCTTAGCACAAGAGAAATGGCCCTTCTCGAACGGGGCATATGGCGTGAGATAACTCTTTCACCGTCAAAAATGTGCACAATGATTGATTTTACCCACTGAATCAAAGGATTGGCAAATGTCTTGACCGAATGCGCTGAGATGATGCTGACATGATACAATTCCAGAGTTCCACTTTTAATCTTCAACCCCTTTCGGAGGCTTTAGTTGCTAGGCAACTGAAGGAGAGGCCCGACAGGATTATGACTTCAGATACAATAATTTTACCGTTCTTTCTACACACTGCTATAGTCTTACACTTCTGGCACATACTCTAACTCCAATCTGATATTTTCTGGTTCTGACAATTACCTAAATACTTACTTACAACATGGGTAGAGGGCAGAGACGAAAGAAGACAAAACGACTGGAGGCTCACCAGCAACAGGAGGGGCAAGAGTATCGCCAGATACACCAGAAACTACGGCAACTGAGGCAGGCGGCGCAGGTTCAGGAGCGTCCATCCAAGCAATAGCAGAACCAACACCAAAGAAAGCATCAGGGACCATATTCAGAGGGATACAAACGGCCACAATACAACCCCAAGAATCGTCCCGAATGGGTTTTCCGCCATATGGAACGGCTACCTTAGTCGTCCGCCGACCACAATTGCAGAGCCACTGAAGAAGATCTTTCTGACATTGAGTTCTCAAAGAGGTAGTGTACTTACGAAGAAGATGGCTCTGATTGCGTGTGTGAGACGCCTATCTGGCGAGAGTACACAGGCGATGATGAAGAGGAAAGGCTTCTTCGCGAAGCGAAATACAAACGGGCAATGTATAAGCGCGAACGGCTTCCTGGGACCAGCAAACACCACAAGATTGAAGAGAAGATGAGGAGGGAACGCATGGACCGAGAAAAGAACGACGAAGTCAAGGAAGTCAAGTCGGCCGTAGACACTCTGATACGAAACGGAGCGAGAGACGAAGGGAAACCTCTCTACTACATGAGCCGTAATATTTTATCTAGGTTCGACTTAGTGTCCGAGGACTACACAGCTCCCTTGGATCCAGATGGTATCCGCGTGTTAAGGAGGATTTGTTTTTCCGACATGAACTCATTCCGCGCCATGAAACACCCTTCGCTCAGGGGAACGACGGAACTGAAGGTTGGCAGGGTCTTGTCAGGGGGATCTAGCCATAGACTGTGCAAACAAAACTGACGATGATATCCGATTAGATTTTGAATCATTCAAGTGCCCTCAAACTACAGGAACTTATAAGATCACCACAAATGGGAAGGACGGGGTTCAGGAGTTGAAGACTGAATTCTCAGCGACGACTACATCATACTGGATGTCCATCCTGTATGCGGTTTTCCGCGACGAGGCCAGTAGGAAGCTACCAAATTGGCCAAAAAGCCCTCTGCCCCAGTATCGATTTTACGGCAACAACAGGGCGTTGGGCGGGGATACCTTATACCATAGATGAAGTGTCTGTTATCTCAGCTATTGTCAAAAAGCAGAATAACATAGCGGCCTGGACTATTAATAGTAGTGATTCTCGATAAGATGAACCAAAAATCTATCCTCAGTTCGCCATCAGAATATCCGAATCAAAGCCCTTGTCTCAAAGGTTCTGCGAAAAGCTTTGGATCGTGAAACGGGTAAACCTCTTCTTGATATACAATATCAGCCAAACACTGTTCGTGCATCACCGGTTTCAGCATGTGTGGAAATCTCCGACACGCATAAGTACTTACGTATACTTAGTACCACTTAGCACCGAAATCTCAGAAGTGATTGTAAATGGCAAGATCAACATCCTTCATGATTTTGACAGGAGCTAAAAGAACAGGTATGCAAGGCTTTTATTAACCAAGTCACTCATAAATGTTGTATCGTTCCAATCTGAGTTTGAGATTGTTTCTACTTGTAACTTGACAACTCGGGCATAGCGTTAGATGTAACGAATGACTGGCCGAGGCCGATTTATAACAGCCGCCCACAAGTACCGCCTCACATGTAATCTGTGGCGCCTTACTCGCTGCCGGAGCCACCGTTCTTGATGCAGGCGTCGGAGAAGTCGCCGCCCTCCATCAGCTTGCCGGGAGACCTGCAGGTGATCGTGGTTCCACTGTTGGAGAGGACGCAGTCAGAGCAGAAGCCGGGGCAAGTCTTTCTAGTCACGTCGTTGTTCTATCGTTCTGTCAGTCCCATTGTCTTCAACTTCTATTTGATCAATTTGGAGGGCGAGCTTACGGGCAAGCCAACGATGAACTGGCCGCTACCACTGGCGGTGATGCAGTGGAGCTCGGAGTGCTTCTTAGCAGCAACGCTGTTACTGTCAGGAACCGCACTAACAAAGCATACAAATAACCAGACTGTGTAGTTTTGGTATCATCCATCGATATGACTTACCTGGTCGCAGCAGCCAGGAAAAGGGTGGTCATGATGGTAGAGAACTGCATTTTGAGGGTTGATAAGTAGTCGATTGATCTTAAAGACAGGAGTGGTTTAAAAGAATGAAGAGTTGGCAGAGGGATTGTTGAGATTGATCTGAATTGTGAGTTGTGATGGTTGATTGGGTGAAGGACGTTGTAGGCATTTATAGCAAGTTGTTGCTCACTTACACACATAAGGCTGAGCATTCGTGAGGCCGGCATCGCTATCCGCTCCGCCCTAGCAGTAAGATAGGGCCAAGATCTGCAGGCGCCCCCTAAGCTGTACATTCTGAACACCGTAGAGCAATGTGAGGGTGTCGCGAAAGCGATAGCGAAAGTCCCCCAGGTACGGATAGTCATAGCCGTTAGAGCTGAAGCCCGTGCTCCCTCGCATTTGCCCCTCTCTATTTGTATCATCCACAAAAGAGGCTTCCTGTTACGAGATATGAGCTGTTAGGATCGTGTATCAGGCTACCTTATGTCAATTAAGCAATCACCTAAATACGCTGTAATCAACTCTCAGACAAGCTCACGAGACCGAGATGACAATCGTGAGTTGACAGGTGCGGCTGAGCATCAAGTTGCTGTGAAGTCGGGCTTCCCGCATTAGTCATTGCCTCTTTGAATGACTCATTTGAGGCTTGTTCGGGGAATCATGCGCTCAGAAACAAGGGAAGGTTTGATGAGAAGCGGTGTTGACTTCTACCGCACCCTCTGACCTTGCGATTCGGGACCACAACTAGCATTGCGATGGATCTTTCTTTAGCCGCCAGACAAAATGACGATCTCATCATTTTCTTCGAGGCCATGCGCGCTGTTCCATAATCACTGCAAGCTTTGATTAAGAGATATCGCAACACAGTTTTAATAAGGCGAAGCTTTCTATGCTATTGGAGTGTTTCGAAACTAAGGTAGGCAGAGGTCATGGTAGAGGACTACTAGACAACTCAGGGAAGTTGCGAGTTTACTGTGTTCCTAGAAGAGATCAACAGGACGTAGATAACCTATGTGATTACGAGTGAGAGGTCGGGAACTTTCACCAAGGTATCTCAAACACGCCTTCGGCAAGACCGTCAAAAAATCGCCATCATGCCAGCCAAAATAGGCGATATCCAGCTCATCCATTCACATGGACAAGAAAACTCCAAGATTGAGTCGGCTTAGTCACAACGTCGAGCTCATCCGCATGCATCCAAGGGGGCACACGCAAGGGCAAGGCGACAGAGGATCCTCCAGTATCAAGCAATCAGCAGCTGCTGGTTCTACCCCGTTTGGTCCCCTGTCATCTGGCCGGAGAGACGCCTTCGCTAGTTTTGCGAGGCGTCTTAGTCCAGTTGAAGACTTCCTCTTAGACTATTGTAAGTGTGAACCATTCACCCAACTCAGATGGCGTTGAAACTTTTGAGTTCTCTACTTGAATCCTGCCAATAAAATGGACGAATTTCAGCCTCTATTTAATTAATTTTTGCTTAATAGACGTGCACAACGTCGTGCCATTTTCAAATTATGAGCCAATCCGGAGTGGTTTCCTGGACGACTGCACAATTAGTCTCAACCATCAATCCGTTCAGCTGGCCTCAACCAGCAGCAGCGCTCTCAATGGTCTCTTCCTCGTAACTAGCCGACATTCGTCGCATTACTTGCCTCAATAAGAAGCACACTATACACAGCTCGCCTTACAGTACAAAGCCGCCTGTGCACGGCTGTTCATGGATGCCATTTCATGCCTGAAGATGCGGTCACCGATTAGTGATTCGATTATCACAATAGCTATTTTCCTGGCACAAGGTGAGGCGAGCTATCACAACTACGCTATCTGTATGAGGGATTCGGATTCATTCAACTAAGCTTTGACAACTGACAGATCTTGGCCGGTGATGTTGCTTCGACACAGCAGCACTTACAAGGTACGATCCACAAGGTGAGACATTACGGAGCGTTGAATAAGATGGGCTCCAACATATTCCTCTACGACATCATATAACAGAAATTGCAAACTCTGACTTGATGAAAGTGGCTGTGCTATTAGCTTAAGTCCAGGAGATTGAATAGTCCCTGATCAGAGATCGGTAATGACGTTGTTGGTCCATGAGCGACGCGCGTTCGCAGAAAGTCATGTACACATTGACTTTGAGACAATAGTCCATATGTGTGTCAGAAGCCACTATTAAGCGTCCCGTCTGTTGCGAATCATTGATCGTTGCACTATCCTTTGACGTTGCCAACGCCCTTCCTTGTCAATAAACTCTGGAAAGATTAGAAGAGTCTAGCGCCTGGAATAAGTGCCAACAACGTGCGACTAACAGCGACAGAGTTGATCATCGCGAAGGCACATGCACAACTTCAGATTTAGACTGATCATATTAGCACACAGCACGAGATCTGGATCTGTACTTTAAATGCCAAATAATAAGTATACAAGTAGGCCCAGCTAGTGCTTTCTCCTCAATATCGGGAGCTGTTTTGGAACATTGACCATTACGATCTATGCCACGCTTGCCTAGCCCAGGATGCAACAAGGACAATGGTGCCACAGACCCAGTATTTTCCCGACAATTTATATCCCCGCGTGGACCAAGCGTCGATGCTTTCCGGGGTTGGTTAAAATCCGGGGCACTGTCGTTGCCAGATTGCGGATACAATCAGTGCCATATGCAGTTCATGTTGTGGCATTTGATCGGTAGCATAGCGCCTTGTTGCTATCGCTCAAGATCGCCAATTTCCTTCCTCCTTCCTCTCCACCAACGGGATCCCTTGGGCTGAACAGTCTGGGTTTATCGTTTCCCACAATTTGGTGTGGCATCTCGCATGACACGGGGAATACACCCCGGTGCACCCCGAATCGCAAGGCAAGGCATCCCCATTGCTTACACGATGGATAGAGATAGCGCCAAGGACGGCCCAGTCCTCAAACACTTGGACGATGCCGACACCGGGGCTGATACCTACGCCACGATCATGGCAACAAACAAACCCGACCCGCGAGGACCCGGATACATCAGGCTATATCTCCTTGCGACAGTGTTGTTCTTCTGTTCAACCATGAATGGTAAAGAAGTCCCACTCTCGAACTGGACCTCCGATGGCTAAATCGACGTAGGATATGACAGCGCCCTTCTAGGGTCCATCAATGCGTTACCCAACTACACGGAATACTTTGGGCTTCCTTCAAAGGGGAACGCCAGCACTGGTATCGTGTTCGCCATATTTCAGGTACACTCGGATGGCAAGGATTGTCGAGTCGAGGCCGCTAATATTGGGTTAAGGTCGGACAAATGTGTGGCGCCCTCTTCATCTGGATGGCAGATTGGTATGGTCGAACTTGGCATATCTTCTTCGGCTGTTTGGGCGTCTGCATCGGGGCAATAATAACGGCACTCTCGACAAGCCTGCCAATGTTCATAGGCGGCCGCTTCATCCTGTCTTTCTTCGCTACCTGTGCTCACACGTCTGCGCCCCTTTACCTGGTCGAGATCGCACCTGCTCGATATCGTGGCACTGTGGCAGGCCTCTACAATACCTTTTATAACGTGGTACGTGATCATTTAATATGGAAGAAAGAGACTGACATAGGAGATTGGAACTTGATATGAATGGTTGAGGCTGGTGCTAACGGTCAACCCTTCACGTAGGGCTCAATCTTGGCAACATCGGCAGTATACGCGTGCCACCGATATCTGAGTGATCGCGGAGACTTGGATTGGAGAATACCGCTCTGGCTTCAGATGGTGTGCCCTGGGCTTGTATGCGTCTTGATCAAGTTCTTCCCCGAATCTCCTCGATGGTCAGTTGTCTCTCAACCACGAGCTCGAAGGTTTAACTGACCCTACGACAGGCTCGTCGCCAAGGACCGACATGACGAGGCAAAACATATCATCGCAACCTATCATACCAACGGAGACCTCGAACATCCTCTCGTAGACCTACAGATGAAGGAAATGATCAACTCGACTGATCCGGCCCACGTACCTTCGTGGAAAGATCTCTTCGACTTGAGAGTCCTCGTCGAGAACCGGTCTAGCAGGTACAGACTTATGCTCAATGTAGCGTTTTCTTGGTTTGGGCAGTTCAGTGGAAACAACATCAGTGAGTTTCTCAATCCAACGGGCTCTTTGTCTCCTGAAGCAACTGACACATGCTAGTCTCATACTACCTTCCCATTATGCTCGCGGGCGTCGGCATCACCGATACGAACACAAAACTGATACTCAACATCGTCTACTCCGTCATTGGCTGGGTCTTTTCGACCGCGGGCTCCCGTCTTCATGACGTTGTCGGCCGCCGCAAGATGCTCATTTCCACCACCGCAGGTATGATAGTCTGCCTAGCCCTTGTCGCCGGCTGCTCGGCAGGTTACACGGACTACGGCAATAAGACGGCGTCCACAGTCAGCATCGTCTTCATCTTTGTCTTTGGTGCCATCTTCGCCACGGGCTTCACGCCTATGCAACCTATCTACCCCGCTGAGGTAGTCAGCAACAAGATGCGCGCCAAGGCAATGGGAACTTTCAAGCTTACGGCAGGTGCGGCGGGATTTCTCAACACTTTTGTTGGGCCTATTGCACTGTCAAATGTGAGTACATCTCCAAATACTGACATGGGGGGCTGTGCTGCGCTAATTTACTGATGCAAATAATCCCTGATAGATAGGGTACTGGTTTTATGTCTTCTTTGTGGCGTGGGACAGTTTCGAAATGGTATTCATGTACTTTTTCTTCGTCGAGACCAAGGGTTTCACATTGGAGGAACTGGATGAAGTGTTTGAAGCAGTCAACCCTCGCAAGGCTTCGGTAGAGGCAAAGAAGAGACAGCAGGGGATCATGAGGGCTGGTACGGCCGCGGCTTAAGCTATCAGATGAGATCTATCTCAACCTCGGGCTTCTTCTCAAACCAAGATTCATCTCTCAAACAGAACCACCCTGCTCGCTTCCATTTGCCCTCGTGCGGGACAATCATCAACCCCTCTTTCTCAATCAGCGGAAGACCCCATACCTCTTCGAACTGCGCTGCTTCCTCTGGCACATCAAAGCACCCCACAGCAACGACCTTGTTTCCGTTGCCTGTCGCACCTGGCTCTTCCCCGTACGAGACAAGCAGGACTGAGTGGGGCAGCATCTTTTTGTAAGGTAGCCATCGCTTTCTTGTCTTATCCGCCTCAAACCACTCGACAACGCCCGTTTTGATCAGAGTCGCCTTTGCCATGCGCCCCAAAATTTGCAGGGTACAAGACGGCATGTGGAGAACAGTAACATCACAGTCCTCTGCGGCTGTCCACCTGGTTCCCAACTTGGGTTTTATCTTGACATAGTTGCTGTCTTGGAATAGCTGAGTTTTTCTCGGGTTGTAAATACGACGAAGCGGGCCTTCCACAGACGCCCAGGACCACGAAGGCGCGCGAATCACCGGTGCTGGGGCAAAGAAGGTTGGTTTCGGACGCGTCACCGAGGTGTTGAAAAACGCGTGCACTTGATTGCGTGGTTTCCACAGCAAGCCTCTGACAAGATCGTCTTCCCAAATGCCCGCGAGATAGCGAGACTTAAGCACGTCTTTCGCAAGAATAGCGATGGATGCGATGGCTGCGAAGACGTCATGCGGGTTCGACAGAGCTCTCATTGTGAACGAGTCGACGAACTCGTACCACATTGAGAGGGTAGTCTCTTTGTCAGCTGCGGAATGGGAGACACCCGTGGAGAAGCCGGGGGTTAGGAAAGTGGGCTTGAGATCTTGGAAATCGACTTGGCCGTCTTCCCAGTTCTTTTCCTCGCGGCATTGGTAGATGGTCTGCTCCTGGCCGAATATGATAGCCCGCGTTGAGAGCTTTTCTTCCTGGAAACACCACCCGCGTGTGGACACTGGCCCGATGAGAGTAGATCTGGGAAGACAGACGCCGATTGTGTCTTTGGTGTCTGGGCTAAGCGGCAAGGTGCAAGGCGGGATTTTTTGATCAAGTCCATTTGCGAGAAAGCCGTTACGCGCGTCATCCGAACGGCCAGCAATTATGGTCAAAGCCGCGTTGCCATAGACGTGTGCCATGCGTTGTGATTCGAAAGCCCAGTCATCGGCATCGCCCTGTATGATGCAAAGGGCGTCGATCCAGAGGTACGCAATGCCGAGCATGCGTGCGAACCGAATGGACTCTCGATGAGTCTGGGTAAGCTTTTCTTCTGCGACGCCATCCAAAAGCTCATCTTTGGTCGTATGCGTTAGGGTGAACGTATTTTTGCCGGGCCCCCAGCAATAGGAAAGAGCAATGTATGGCTCTCTAAGGCCACTCGTGATCATCAGTCTCGGCTTTTCGCCGATGTTGCAAACCTCAATGACGCGAGTCGGCATCTCCGAGGACCTCGGTTTACAGAGCTTGTGAGAGTCTTCGCACTTTTTCAAACGCCAACTTGCCAGGTGAATGTAGAGATCAGGATCATGGTCCGCAATTATGTATCGCTCGATGAATTTGCTCGCTGCCGGTGTTTTACGGCTTCTGCAGATAGTCAATTCTCATGCAATATGCCAAGTCCTGGCTCAAGAAAAAGAAACAAAATGATTTTGAGCTTGAAGGTCTTACGCGAAAAGAGATAGACGCGAGGCAAATGGCATCCCGGGGCGATTGGTCTCCTCCAGACCGACATCAGGATGCATCCTTCCGCACGAGATCCATATGGCACATCCCGGGAGTTGGTGGCCGACGCTGCGGTTGCCTTGCCTCACCTCGCCATGGAGCCAGATGCTCGGAACAAACGTCTTTTCCTCGTAGCCTGACGGTATCTGATCACTGAGAAGGGCGTCGGTGACGCTACGGTGAATGTCGTCCATGACACGGGTGTAGCACAGGGTGCAAAAGGGACATTTTGCATCGGCACTTCGCTGGAGAGCCTTCATACTGGAGTGAAAGCGGACATCTGTGGCATCTAGCTGCTCAAGGTTGAGGGTTGAACAGATCCGGCAGAGAGACATGATTGCGGCATAAGTTCTTCCGCTGCCTGAGGCGACGGGACGTTGATGTGATTGTCTTGTCGACGGCACAGGAAGCATGAAGACGTGAAGCGAGCGTGGTCCAGCTTCCCAGCCACGAAAAGCTGACACTACGCCAGCAAGGGGGATTTTGAAATGGGTGCATCGCATAGATCCTATTGGTCCTTGAACCGTGCAACGTCTAAAATATGCAGGTGATACGCCAAGTTCTATCGGGCTCATGTGGACTGAGGGCATCCCACTAGGTAGCTGGCGGCTAGGTTGAGAGGAGCCATAGACACTATTATCTTGGAGTTTCGCAAATATGGACAACAAAGGTGAGTAGTGAGCTAAAGCGCAAAGCAGATGCTTCCGGAGAATATCGGAATCCAACCGGCCTGATCGAGAGGTAGTAATGTGACAACGATGAGATGCTGGATGGACTCGGAAGCATGGGTGAGGTCCAGAGAAACGTACCCACACCACCAAGAAAAGCTTGCCTTACATAAGCCACATCTCGACGCTAACGCCCCTCGATAAGATAAGCAAAGACCCACCCCGCCGCAATCTGGATTTTTTTTTTTGATCTGGGTAGGATTGCCTGCGTCGCGGACCTCTGCTGTAGGTTCCTTTGAACATCATACTTTTGCAGCACGACAATACCTACGATGAAGAGAAAGGCCGACGAGACCGCGACCGCGCCCGAGAGCGAGAAGCGCGCAAAAACGGAAACTTCTACACCTGAACTGTCATTCTCTGATCTGGGCCTCGACACTCGATTGGTACAGGCCGTCGCCGCCGAGAGCTTCAAGGACCCTACCCCGGTGCAACAAAAAGCCATTCCATTGGCCTTGGACGGCAAAGATGTCGCCGCGAAGGCGCCCACAGGCTCAGGGAAGACGGCTGCATACGTTCTGCCCGTGCTCTCGAGTATCCTGAAGCGCAAAGCTGTATGCAACAGTCTTGTCAATGAAATTACTGAACCCTGCTGACCACCGCCATAAACTTCCAGACCGATTCTTCACCCGCTACCACCGCTCTGATCCTCGTACCTACCCGTGAGCTTGCCGACCAAGTTCTCAAAGCGATCGAGCAATTCTCAGCATACTGCGCAAAAGACATCCACGCAGTCAAGCTTGTCGACAAGATCTCCGATGGGGTTCAGCGTTCCCTCCTCTCAAACTTCCCCGACGTTGTTGTCTCTACCCCCGCTACCGCATGGCGGAACATCACCTCCGAAGCGCTTTCGCTGGATAACCTGACCTGCTTGGTTCTGGACGAGGCTGACCTCATCCTTTCATACGGCTACGACGAAGACCTCGAGAACATCGCGCGAAAGCTGCCCAAGGGCGTGCAGCTCTTGCTGATGAGTGCGACGCTTTCTACAGATGTCACCACCCTTGGAGGAATTTTTGGACGGAAGCCTACAATCTTGGATCTCGATGAGGAGGAGACAGAGAACGACAATCTTTCACAATTCGTTGTCAGTTGCGGAGAAGACGAGAAGTTCCTGTTGGCATTCATCATCTTTAAGCTGAAGCTTGTCAAGGGCAAATGTCTCATCTTCGTAAATGACGTCGACCGTTCATACCGTTTGAAGCTTTTCCTCGAGCAGTTCCAGGTCCGCAGCTGTATCCTGAACTCGGAGTTGCCCGTCACATCGAGAGCGCACGTGCTGGAGGAGTTCAACCGCGGAGTCTACGAGATCATCATCGCGTCCGACGAGAAGAGCGCCATGGGCGCCGAGGAAAAGGATGGTGAAGAAGGAGAGGGGACAGAGGCGAAGAAGGAGAAGGACTCTAAGAAGAAGCGCAAGTCGAAGCGGGACGCAGAGTTTGGCGTTTCTCGGGGTATCGACTTCAAGAATGTGGCAGCCGTGGTCAACTTCGACCTTCCGACATCGGCATCATCATACACACATCGGATCGGCCGCACAGCGCGCGCTGGTCGGGCAGGCATGGCACTTTCGTTCTACGTTCCTCAAGAGCTGTACCGCAAGCACGTCCCCACAAGCATAGAAACCGCAGAGAACGACGAGAAGATACTGGCCAGGATCAAGAAGCAACAAGCGAAGCTGGGCAAGGAGGTGAAGCCTTACAACTTCAAGAAGGAGCATCTGGATGCATTCAGGTATCGTCTGGATGACGCCTTAAGAGCAGTCACCAAGGTTGCAGTCCGTGAGGCGCGTATGAGAGAACTGAAGCAGGAGATTCTCAAGAGCGAGAAGTTGAAGAGGTACGTTCACTCAGCCTAGGCTCCTCGTGTTCAGTGCGGGCTTTGACTTGAATCTTGCTAATGAATTCTAGATACTTTGAGGAGAACCCAACAGAGCTGCAGCACCTTAGACACGACGGAGAGTTGAGAACAGCCAGGCAGCAACCTCATCTGCGGCACGTTCCTGAATACCTTTTGCCGAAGGAAGGCAAGGAGTCACTCACAAAGAATGACATTGGTATGGTGCCGTTCCGAAAGATTGGTGGCAAGCAGAGGAGGAATAAGAGCAAGCCCGGTAAAGGCAGGAAGGTGGGAACGAGAAAAGTCAATCCTCTGAAGACCTTCAAGGCGCGGAGAAAATGAGTAGAAGCATCATTTCTTTCCGGAACCGGTGGACTGTAGATACTAATAGCGACTCCCATTGTTTCCTGTATGATTCCAACCGCGACCTAGCTTGCCGGAGGCGAGACCAAGTTCGACTTTCCCGGCAATGACATCTCCGAGCTCAGTCCTGAACGTATCTCAGTCTGCGTCATCTTCATTGCCGCTCCCAATGCGCGGTTGGCCACGCGGCTATCGCAGGGTCGATCTGCGCGTCGGGTAATCGTCCGAGCTATGACGATCTCATGTGATCGTGAAAACCTACAAGTCTTTTCTTCTTTCGCATTCTCTGCTGTCAATCCGATTGGCGCCCAGGTCAAGAACAGATGGCGAACAGCCACAGTAAATATAGTTAAGGTGCTCGAACTCTTGGTCTTTCGGTTCTCAGTCCGTAGATGGCCTAGTTCGCAAAGTCAAGCCTTTACACTTGCGGCTCAACCGATCTGACAAGAGAGAAATTCTCCCCGAACGCTGAAAAAGAACTGAACACTGACCTGCCATTAGACCCGCTACGTGTCATCGGGGCATGGCCCGAAGATGCTTCTAGTCCACGCTGACAACCCAGGGAGAGAGAAATGGAACGGCCGAAGGCTTGAAATGCTCAGACGGAGAGAGAGCGCTGGAGCCATACGCGGCATGTTTCGGCACGAGTCGAAAAGTCATCCCATCTCTCGGCCCTTGCGAACCTCTCTTCATCGCAGCTCCCCGCGCCTCGAAACTGGCGAATCGCATAGGGTTCCGAGAAGTTTCGGCGGTTCGATGCGAAGCTTGTGGCATCGCGGATGGTCCCGGAGCACGGGTGACGCACCCGTCGCAACTCGGGGGTATTGATTCTTAGCTATCGCGGAGACGCCCCGACCGCGGTTGGTCTGTTGGCCTCGCGACATCAACCGCAACAGGGGCGGTTGCCGGCGAATGGAGTAAGTAGACGCGCCAGAAGATACGAGCATCCCGTTTTCTCTTTTAGGGTTGAATATGAGTCGTTGCCACACAACCTGTCACATTACCCCGTAAGCATGCATGTCAGATATGTCAGAGCATGTGGTCACCATGCTGACGAGTTCGAGGGCGGATATAATGATCCAAGGGTGTCCCAGGAGTTTGGGAACAAGTCGAGCCACTGGATCACAAGTCCGCATAACGCCGCTTCCTTTCCCCATATGTACGAAAGGCACGAAAGTCGACTAGCACCACGCAACTAATTCTGTTCAGCCCTCAACACAAAAAGGGTCGCCAAGTTTCCCTTCTTGAACTAGAGCCTTGGCCTGTCTCACACACACAAGGAAAGGCGCAGGAGATATTAGACCACGATGACCGCCGCCAAAACAACTACACCACCAGACTCACCATGCTCTCTTCAATCCTTAGATATTGAGAAGGCCGCTACCATGGCGACAGCAACAAAACCTAACACCGCGGCCGGAGCCGCAGTTTACATGCCCGTACTCCTCCGCTACATCTACGACCCGGTTGTCCTCGGCTTCTACTGCCCGAAAGCATGGCGAATCACTTCAAGACGCATGCGGGAGTTCTTCAACGGGCACATCTCCAGAGCCTCGGCCCGTTCGCAGTCGCCTAGTCTCCGCAGAACATCAGACACCAACGCCTTCTCAGCCTGCCGGATACTAGACATCGGCGTCGGCACGGGATACTTTCTCAAGCATGCGCCCATACCAGCCGGATCCGAAGTCTACCTCGCCGACCTCAACCCCGCGGCCCTGAAAGCAGCTAGAGAACGAACGCTAGACGCGCATCCCAAGACGACCTGCGAGACCTCTGTCGCCGACTTTCTGGACCCCCTGGGGAAGGGGCTGTGTTGCAAGGACCTCGGCGGGGGCGACTTTGATGCGATATCCGTCATGATGCTGCTGCACTGCGTGCCTGGACCGCCGTCGAACAAGGCCGAAGCTCTGACGCGCTTGCGGCATCTGCTGGCGCCGGGCGGTACGATATTCGGGATGACGATCTTGGGACGGGGCGTGAAGCACAATCTGATGGGGAAGCATCTTATGTTCTGGCACAACTTACTGGGTGTGTTCGGGAATACTGAGGACGACGTGGAGGGCTTTGTCGGACCGTTGATGGAGGTGTTTGAGGATGTGAGGTGGGAAGTTTGTGGGACGATGCTCTTGTTCGAGGCTAGTAAGCCAAGGGCACAAACAAGGGACACGGCTACGAGTATACATCTCTCATGAGTCGCATGATGCGGACGAGCTTCGGAGAAGCGGTAGAGAGGTCGCCATATTGTACGAAAAGCGGATGTAAATGTTGACGAGACAAACGAAGCAATGGTCGCAAAAAGATCAAGTATGACTAAGCCTGAGGAATACAAGAGTGAGCAATGGTACAGTCCCAGCAAGCTTATTTCCGTCCGTTGAATTGACGTGATGTCTCTTTTAGAGTTACCAATGATCTGCTCGCCATCGCCGAAATGAAACCCGATTCAGGCCCGTAGGGTGTGCTGGATAGAACTAGCCAAAAGGTTAAAACGGCACTCGCCAATGGAATGAACATTTACGAATGTTCGAATAGGAGGTCGTCGACCGGGCACTTGGAAAAGTACCTCAGAGTTGACAGTAAGTTACCCAAGTTGTGATTGTACAGTAATACTCACAGAGCTGGCACCGCAAGGTGGTTGAGGCAATATTCGGTCAATATCTTCTCGTGGTGCTGGCCTAACTTCGTGTAGAAAAATGAACCTTACAGTAACTTAGTGAAATTTACTTCAACGACCGTGGTTAGCTGACGCGTCATATCTCTCCGGATAGCCGGCAGCACGGATTCATTTTGTCGAGCGGTGACAAATGCCAAGTCCAAAGGACAACAACAAGCCTTTTCTCGTAGGTGCCGATCCGTCTTGG